CGAGAGTGAACATTTCCCTACCTGCCTTCCAACTCAGTCCAGCCCAGGTCCGACTCAATGGCTAGGCTATATAGGTACACACCTAGGGCGGCATTTCAATTTTTTTATACTGTACAGTATAGTTTCCGATCTCATACAACTTACAAGTAATCAAAAATAAACAAGCAAAGTAGAAACATGGTCTATTCCATTTAAGTATTCAAATAAATACCTGTTTCCAAACATATTTGTTTTGTCTTTATATTTTATTACTTTGTGTTTCGTCTATATAGAGTGTAAATTACATAGTTTATGTTTATCATATTTTGATTTAATTTGGGGATACTCTTAAACTGAAGACGTCTGATGTTTTTAAAAAACTATTGATTGACTGCCGATGATGAAGGGTACGAAAATACTTCAAAATCAGGTAAATTACTGGCAAGTGCTCTTGAAACTGAATATTAATTTCTTTATAACATTTCTAAAATACAAAATATGATGAAATTATGACTAATTGTAAAGATTTACAACTTTCACTTACATCCGACAATAGTTTAATTTCTGACATTAATTCAGTCAAATGCACGATAAAGATTAGCTTTAAAAAGACAGTTCAGTGTTACAGAAACAAATCCCAAATTTGTTTTAGAATAAATATGCAAAAACCTGTTAGTTGAACTGTCTCCCAATACTTTTATCACATTAAGAATCCTCTTAACACTTCCTGTAAAGCCTGTCACAGCAGACAGAAACTTTCCAAAATTTGAAATTATTAAAAATTATCTACCATCCCAAATTTTACAAGTTCGTTTAGTGGGCCTTGCAATGATTTCAATTGAGAAGGAGTTAAGAATTAATTTTAACCTGGGTAAAGTTATATATGAATTTTTAATATTTTGTTTTTAATTGTTTTATTTAATTTGTTATCATTACAATTAACAACTATTTTAAAATTGTGTTTCCACAAATACATACTAGTGAAGAGTAATATCTATAAATGTATTTATAGATACTTAATATCTTACCAATAGTAAACTATTTGTAAATAAATATTTTGTACACAGAATTTGTTTATTCTGGTTTTTTCATGTAAACAAAAATTACTAATTAGATATAAAATTTGGTACCTAAAGGATATATTAGAGCAAGATAACGGAACATATGACACTTGTAGTTTAAATACCTTACATGAATAACTAGAACAAAACACATATTTCATTTTCAAGTTTCCACATAAATCAATATATACATTATAAGGTTATAGTCCAAAGTGAACCTTTTGCCAGATAAAGACTCGTGAAGAGAAAAAAATTGTTGTACGGCCCCTTTTGCATGGGATAATAGGTAGATAATACGAATATGGCATAATATAAAATTACTGTAAACTAGATTTAACAATTCTGTTGTATTAATAAAAATGATCAAACTTGGGTCGTAATCGTATAAACGTCATACTCAATAAATATATAATGTAATTTAATAAAAACTTGCTTTTATGTTGGTGAGATTATCAAATCAGACTGATCGGTATTAAAATACCTTGCAAGACTGAATGTTATTTATAATCAATTAGTAGGTTTTTAAAATAATTATTATTCAGTTAATATTTTACAGAAATTAGTTTATATTAAGCTACTCTGGGTATATATTTTTATTATATAAACCAAACTAAACAAAATGAATTTGTTCTGAAATAGTTATTCATATGATTTAAAAATATGATACAATTTTTGGTCAATATAAATTTGCAAATTTACAATTATCTCTTGATTTGAAAATGTCCTTGTTTGTTAGAAGATTGCATAGCCCATATTTTATTAATCTATGTACTTATTCATTTAATATGGCCATTTACTTAGTGAATAGTTAAATTAATAATTTATGAATAATTACACCAGAAATCGCATAATATGACAATTGATACACATTAATGCGAGCGTATCAAATACTCATCACATAAATATTGATCTACCCTTGGTATGGTACAAAGATCTTAATTAAATAACTGCAAAACTTCTTCAAACGATTGTACTGTTCCATCCTTTATAAATTAGGTATGGTACCCTCGTGTTTAATATATATTTTTCTGTTCTAGGAACTTGCTTTCTGTTGTAGTTAAATAATTTTTGGATTAAGTCCTTCCGTTTTACGGTGGACAATATTGACATAAAGCTTTTTTTTAATTATTTTAATTAATACTCTGATAATCAGATAGTATAAAAATCTATTAGAAATTAGAATACCTACTTAGGTATATCCATATTTTATTTAGATCTTTTAAAATTATATTTTCATAGATCCATAGATTTATTATAATTTTTGATATTGCACATTTCCAAACATAAGTAGAATTAAATGTCTAAAGTGATGCTGTAAGATACTAGTGAAAATTAATAAAATATTTTTGTACAAGCCTGGCAAAGACTTGGCTAATTATCTTTTACCTCGATTGCCTTTGTAGAAATACAATTATTATCAATTAGATTTGTTTCTTATAGAAGTGATATTATAACTTTTCCGTTATTAATTCTGCCTACATTCCATTTATTAAGAAATGTATACTTTTCTTATATTATAAAAAAAATAGAAATAATACATATTATAAAATAAATAGATACAATTGCAAGTTGCAGCATCTCATCATATTTATTTATCTCTTATCTCGTTCTCATCGAGATCTGCTGTTAAAGCTCTTTTTGCCCACAAAAAGTTTAATAAGTTATAATAAGACTGATTTAAGTATGTTAATATTTACTTAAGATTGGTGAAGTTGTGAAAATTTAAATGATATAAACGTAGCTATGGACATATTTAATGTGAAAACTAATGAGGCTATTTCCAATTCCACTAATATGTATATAATAAAATTGTCAAATCAGAAATTAAAAGATTGAATATCAAGCGGTCAGGTTAACTCTATTTTAACTAAGTGAACATTTAAAAACAGATTAGATAATCCCATTTTTATTTAACATTAATTAAAAATGGTATAATTGTGTTAAGAATATCTTATACCCCCATAATTTTGGTTAGAAATACTAGATTAAACTAGTAGAAGATAATTCTAACTTTATACTGTTAAACAGTTGTACTTTACTAAATTGTAGTTAACAATGAAAAGTATATAAGTTGTAGGTATTTAATTTATCATTATTTTCAGGTAAGTGCCCCAATAGTTTTAACAAATGTGTCTTCATTCCTTTACACAAAACAGGAAATAAATAATTGTTCAGTAGTTATTATCTATTATTTCAGTCGGTAATTATAATTACTAGGGCTCTAGTTATAATTACTAGACTGTAGCCATTATAAACCAATATCGTTATCACTGTCTCTATCAAAAATATTTGAAAATCATTAAATCCCAAATAATGAAGTAATATAATATTTAGTTATTAAAACATATTTACATGGTTTTACGAGTTTTTATAGTTGAATTTGAATAAAACTGAACATATGGTTTTCAATATTCAAAACTATTTTAATCTGGATAACTTAAAGTTTAGAGGGCAAAACTGTGTAGAGCTACAAAATTGTGTTTCATGAATTATGATTCATATAAGATGTAACTGCGTTACTATTAAAAAGAAAATAGTTGTATACTTTGATTCATTGATAACTGACTAAAATGAAAATATCAAAAATATTGAATATGTTATAAAACTATTCAATTATTATCAAGACATTATTTATATATATATATATATATATATATATATATAGTTATTAGATAATAGCAGGTATTGTTAAGGGTTAAACTTACTAAAGCTAATTTATTATTTAAATGTTGAATCTATAATTATTTACTACATTATACTATGCATATAAATAAAGATAACGGTATCTGGACTTTATAATACAATTTATATCGAACACATCATTGTATACTCAAAGAGAGTATTCAATATGTTAAACATCCTTCGTTTAAACGTATTATATAATATCACTTAATACAATACACAGATACAAATCACTCGTTATCGAGAGTAAACGTGTCTATGAGAACAGATTTAGAAAAAATACATTTGGTTTACTTTTACTTTATTGTGTCAAAAACTACATCTAAAAACTAATGCATTTCTAAATAATAAAATTATAAACAAATATATACTATATACTAAATACGCTTTGAATTTTTATCATAATTAAGTATTATTTAATTAAAAATTATCAAAAAAGTAAGTGGTTATTAAAACATGTTTTCAGTTGTAAAATAACACAAACAAAAATGTTTTGAAAAATAATTTTACCTAATTAAAATTATTATGAGAGAAAATTAGTCAATCACACTATATAATTAAGCTAACCAAGAAAAAACAACTTTTATTTCTAAAAAACAATATAGACTTCCTGTCTATCAGGCTACCTATAGTAACACAGTATACATTTCAGACCAATTTTATAATTTATAAAGTACAATTCATAAAGTTTGATAAGTCGTTTAAATATAAATAATAAATAGTAATAATAGAAATAATAAATGTAATAGTTTAAAACACATAAAATAATCTGGTAAAAAGTATAAATAGTATAAAATGATACTTAAGTAAAGATATTTTTTAACTAAAAATGTATATATTATAAACTAAACATCAAAATTTACAAATGTATAATTACTTGGTTTAGCAAAACAAAATTGTACCGTTTTTTTTTTTAATATAGGTATTCAAAATTTTGACTACACAATTTTTCCTAACAACATCAACATAATTTCACAACAATTTTCAAATTTTCAATCTTTCAGTTAGGTCAAGATATTTTTACAAAAAATTAATATTTTAATGTTATTAAGGTAAGTAAATATTAATAAATAAGCAAATACAGAAGCTACATTTATAATTTATTTGGTAGGCTAATAATTATGTTTGTCAAAATTGTAATAGTAATATACTGTTAGTATCGTTAAACTAAAGATACTTGTATTGACACTTAAAGTGTAAAAATATTCAAACAATAATACAAGTATTCAAAAAAAAAAAAAATTTAAACAATCTTAATTTTGTTTTAATGTAGTTGAAAATTAAAAATATTTAGCCAAATGAGATATCAGTGTAGTGGTCATAAATACAGTACAGTTTATATGGACGTTGAAGACAGGATAATAAGTTATTCAATAAATAAACAACTGAATTACAGTTGATTAATAATAAATTATAATGAGACTTTTTTAAATAAAATTAAACAAAATATAAAGAGATTGGAGATGATACTACGATGTTTAACAACAGGTAAACAGAAATACTGGGTGGCGTTTATACTGTTAGTCTGATACAGAATATTCTTCCAGGGGTTTTGCACAAAATCCAATTAACTTCAACAACAAATATTCAAATATAGTGTCAAAAATCTGTCTATGGATTACAGTGTTCATGGAGAAATATATGATATGTCCATTTAATCTTCCTCTGGTCACATTCTAGCTGAAAAAACAACAAATGGTTAAATAATATTAATAATAATTATAATATAAAACCAATTTTAAATGAATTACTAATGTTAACGTTTGTTAATTGTGAAGTTAAAATTAAATATAACGAAAATTGATAATGACATTTTTTTATACCATTCAACTTAAATTATCTATCAATAACACTTGGTAGAGTGATTTCATGAATAGACTATTTGTGACCGGTATATATCAAGTGGACCTAGTTTGTTATCTCATACCAATGAAGCGTAAGATCTACAAGTAAATGCAATTTTTCTTGTACAAAAGTAACAATGTTAGAAAATAGTAAATTAAATTATTAAAAAGAAAGATAGTTTACATTTGATTTCTTTTTTTTTTAATACCCTATATTAGGGTGTTTTAGATTGATATTAAACTAATTTTGTATCAATATTTGTATTAATACTACAAATCTAAAATGTTTTCCTTACCTAGTCTATTTAGACAAATGATAAAACAATTATTTCTTCCAGTTAGTGTCGATGGAGAACTGTTCAACCAGAATCTTTGACTCATCTTAAAACTGAAAGATATATTATTAATAAATAAGTTAAAAGTTGAAATGTTAATTATTAAAATAATAGAGATTAAATCAATTTTACAAAAAATAACTCCATACCTGTTACCACACTTAATCAGACTAGAGATAGTTTCAGGAATCGAACCGCTCTAATGAATAAGCATACCGATAAGCTTTTTATGACTTCAGTCAACTACCATCATACTGTAAAACATAATTTACTTGTATTAATAATTTTATTGAAATAGGATGTAATAATATTGTCACACAAATTAGTACAATATAGTGTATGTATGAACTTTCTTTGTCGCTAGGTACTATAATTGATAAATATATTATGTTATTCATATTAAATATTGCAAGTTTATATTATGTGAAAATAAGAGTTTTGAATTATGAATTAAAAAAGAATTCTAATAAAAATATTTATTTAATATTAATAAGAAACGAAAATAAATTTTATTTACCAATAATTATCGTTGTCGTCATATGAACTAGTTGGTTTTTTGTCATTATAAATGTATCGTAAAAATGTGTACTATTTAAGAAAATATAATATATTTTAACACGGTTATTTTTTTTATCATTTGAATTATTGCCGTTTAGTTCTAGAGATAACAGTTAACTCTGACAAACGTTAGTTATATTTTAGTTACTTTTATTCTGATAGAATTGGCAGACTGATAGAATGTGATTTTATATTTTGGTGTTTCTGGGTTGGTCACGCTGATAAAATAAAAATTGTGTTATCTTTTGGAAGAACTCTTATCTCTTATCATTTTTTGGAAGAACTGCCCTAAACACTGTCTGTAATATGTCTACTATAATGTCCCTAGCAGCAGCTATAATATAATATGAAATCCGTCATTATAAAGTCTATAATACTTGAGTCTTGATAATGATAACAGGTTGATAAACAGACGTTACAGACCAAATTTTGTTCCTTGAATTGCAATTAATTGTTAATGTTACAAGAAAATAGAAATAACACAATTTATATGTGCGACGGATCTGTATACAATTATAATTTTTGATTTTACGTCAAGTAATTTATTTTTTATTTAAATTATCAAGTTAACTCTTAAACGTGTTAAACTACCAATTATATTTTATTAAAAATCTATCATGTTGGCACTACAGTCGTTCGCCCATCCCATTTGTTTTTCTCTTATAACAAAAAAAACTATTTGATAATCCTAATTTACTGTCGGATCCTTAATAGTGAATATATTATTTTATTGACATCGCAATGTTTATTATCGTTAGATTTTAAGTTTTAACGTAGTTATTTTTGTAATGAACAAATAAAAGCAATTTTTAAAACTTGTATAGGAGTTATGGTGTTTGTTGTCGAATATTGAAACACTTATTTGTGAGTTATCATTCTCCTTTATTATTATACATAAGACATATTTAAAAAAGCATCTAATGACAAGTAGTTTTATTTTAATTCTTGAGTTTCTGTTAAAATTTAAGTGTGTAGGTAGGTACAATAAAACTTTTCCTTTAATATTTTGTGAGCTTAGAAGTCAATTATTAAGTTAAAGTAGTTCTATGAAATACTTTCACTTTGTGTGGAATATTATATAAAACCAAAAAAATTATAAATATGATAAAAGTGTGTCAGTTAGCCAATTGATTAAAGAACGTAATGAACTACTCTACCATAATTTAATATATTTAAAGTTTAGATTACAGCTCTGATATTTATGGATATAGTACCAAGAATAAGGCGAAGCAATTATATAACACATAAGACTGCTGCAGCATAGAAAGTCGTTACTTTATATTTGAACATCTTCTTTGAATCTCATTTTCCCGACTTATTTAACCGATGATAGTGGTTTCATAGACATAAAACCATGTTAACATGATAGTTAAAATTTTAGTGTACTTTAACCATATTTTAAAAAAATATTTTTTTTTTATTTAACCTTAGGAAAAATTGTTAAATTTCAAAAACTTTTTCGTGTCAAAAAATAAAAAAAAAATATTTTGTTTATATAAAATTTAAGTTATGTACCATAAGTTATGTTCCATACCATCTTTGATCCAATCAATTTTTGTTTAAACATGCGCGGTTTGCTGAAAAGTACCTAACTTAGTGACTCACAACACATATGAGCCTGAATGAAAATTTTCCAAATTTATGTAATACTTATAAGTTAGTAGAACATCTGGTAAAATTATTTTAACACCACTACTAAGGGTTCATATTTTCCAATTTTTATTTAATGGAAATATATACAATTGCGTAAACTGTTCAGTGTTCAATTAATTCCTTAATATAACTAACAATAATAATTGTATATTGATACTGAGTGAGTTACTATTATCTATTATAATTAGTGTAATTAAAAATAAAACACAATTCAAAATAAAAAAAATATATTTTTTAAACCTTAAAAGAGGAAAATAGATTCAACCAAACAAGTACTACATTTATCAGTAGATGACAGATTGACTTTTAATTTTAATTTAACAAAAAAAAAAATTGTTTTTTATATTTTTTAATTGTTTTTAGAATCTTAGAAATGAGCAACAAATACAGCTTTCAAAGACCTGAAATGGAGACACCTCTTCAAAGTTCTCATTACAATCCGTCTAGGGAAACACTTGGTCGTTATTCAGAATATTCATTACATTCCAGTTATAAAATAAGAGCTGGTGATGCTGCATGTAAGTTTAAGTATATATTAGGTTATTACATGTATTAAGGTTTTTCAATTAGAAAAGTATATAAAAATAAAAAAGGCCTAAAGCTACTTTTAAATATAGTATAGTTAAAATTCTTATTTTTTTAGTAGGTATTACACCATAATTTATTAGTTGAGTCCTTTTATATATTTGCATGTGTGTTGAGTAGCAAACTTTGTATAGTAAGTAAATATTGAAAAAGCTTACCAAACAAATATCCGGTATCCCAGTGGACCTATTCGCCTATGGTTACAGTTTATTATTACATTTTTATTTTTTTTCATATGTGAAAATAAATTTAACCATTTAGTAAAATATGTAAATTTAAGAATAAATGTATAATTTAACAAGGACATGTTTTTTATAGAATTATATTAATAATTTTATTATAATATATTTTTTGAGGTTTTTTTTATTAAAATAGCAAATGATTCAGTGGCGTGTACAATGAGAATTCCATATGCTACTCTGATAGCTGCTCTCTTATGCTGTACTGGTATTGGTGTGTTTTGTGGTACTATGTACCGTGGGGCTACATTAAGTGCATTGGTATTGGATCAAGTATTTCATTTATATATTGGCTGGTAAGTTTTGATCTTTACTGTATTGTGATAATTTTTATTTTTGTATACCAATATTATATCTTTGCTGGATATTATTTTAACAGGTTGGAAACTGTAAAAACTATTTTAGTTTTAATAGCTGCCGGAATGGGTGCTTTAACGCTAATGGTAATATTTGTTGGATTTCTTGCTACAGGCGCTACTCGTCGCCGTGTATATAAAGCATGGCGTAATAGAGTGGGTGGTCGTATATCTTGTGCAGTTGTAAGTATAATTTAATAAATAAAATGTATTAACTATTGGTGTAAAAAAAAAAAATTATATGTATTTTTTAGTTTATGGGCATTATTTACATATTACAATTTTTTTGGATATTTGTGTTTGGGTTCCTTATTGTAACAACATTTATTATGACTGTGTTTTGGCAAATGTGTGCAAGTTCTCCAGTTCAAGATCAACATCAGTGTATTGATTTAAAACAGTTTTGTAAGTTTTGGAAATTAATAATTATAGGTTAATCAAATTAACATAATACTCTTATTTTCTCAAAAAATATTTACAATATAAGTTTTTTTTTTTTGAAAAAACATTTTTGTTTATGTAATTGTATAATATTACAATATTATATATAATATAATCAAATATTTACCTTTTTTTAGTATTTTCCAAAACTCTTATCTATTTTTGGAACGGATGGTAACGTATATATTTAATTAACTTAACATTATTTATAATTTGCTGAACATTTTGAACGATCGCTAACCAGTTTTGGATAATTACTTCTAAAGTTTAAAATTTAGGACAGAGGTCGAGTGAGGTAGAGATATACACCCAGATAAAAAAAAATACAACCACCCTTCCTCATGTCTTAAATTATAAACTCTAATAATTAAAAAATAATTATCGAAAACTGATTATCAACCAGTCTACAATTTCAGCAAAATATTATAATTTTAAAATTTGGTTAAATTTATATATTACCATTTGAAGGGCTCAAGGGAAAAACGGTAGTAGTCACATTATGAATATATTTTTTTTCAAATAGTTTTTTTTAAATTAATGCTATTAATTTTTTTATTTATGTCAATAGATTGTTTAAATAAATACATTTATTATTAGAATTCACGAACTTTGTTTTTTCTATACTCTAAAATTGTCATAGTGTGATAATTACCGTTTTTCCCCTGTGCCCTTCATTTTAGTTTCAAACGTTAATGAAGCTCTGGAAAATACTAAAAAAGCTAAATATTTAACTATTATATACCTAATATTGTAAAATTACAAAAATAAAAATGTTTCTGGAAAGAAAAACTATAAAATTGTAAATATTTTCCGATAAAATTAGTGTCTTATGTTAAATTAATCACCCTGTATTTGAACGTCATATTTAAATATGACGTTTCATTTACCTATGTGAATATATTTATAGATTTTATGTTTCCACAATCAACTCGTATCGACTATTTAAAAATATGTGAACCTAGAGAGATTAAGTTTTTTTGTAGAGATTTTGTAGAAAAAGCTGAATTTATGTTTATAATGGGTACTCTTGGAGTTGTATTGATACTGATAAGTTTGGTAAGCATTGTTGTTTAATGAATATTTGAGTTTTTTTTTGTTATTAATTATAAGTGTTTTCTAACTATTAGGTTCATTACCTGATGTGCCTTTCGGCTAACTACGCTCACATCAGGGATCACGAGAAGTTTGAAGAGCTTCAAGAATTACAATTGTTGCAAGACACTGATTTTGCTGCATCAAAAGAAAGGTTTTAATAAGAGTGACTAAACTTTAAAAAATCATAAAAGTTTTGTCATAATCTTAGGAATAAAAATATTAAGTATTGTTAAACCAATACTGTCCAAAAATGTAATGACTCACGCTTGATAAATGTAAATTAAGGAAGCACCAGGGTAACTAAACTTTGTATTTGCGTTGGAATTTATTTCATAATAGTTATTATTTATTATTGTTAGATTTTTATATAATGTCTAACCTATAAATTATTGAATAATTGAATTAAACCTTAACATATTCGACTACCTTATAATGATATAAAAGAAGGCAAAGACATTTTTTTAATGATAGTATCTTTATAAATTATTTTAAAAATGAAGTAGTACATACTTATCAAAGTATTGATTCTAGCTTTTTAATTACTTTTTTAATTTTTAATTTAATATATACTTATTTATTATAACTAAGGTAAAAAAACATTGATTTGTTAGCAAAAAAAAAATCAACAAGAATTTATGTGTTACTTTACTTTATTAATAGGCTTGTTTTCAAGGTATAAATATTTATAACTGTTCGTAAGGTTTTTCATTGTATTTGCTGGATCCCAACCTGTTTTTATGATAACTAACAATACAATTTTTAGTTTGCACTTTGAAGCTTTAGGTCTGTAAACATAGTAAAGAAACATTCAAAGATACTAACAAGCCGTTTTATATAAAACTAAGCTCTAAAATATTGATTCTAAACAATATTACTGTTAGAGAATGTTAACAAATTTTTACATCTCGAAAACCCATGTATAATTGTTGAACAATGTTTACACAAGTTAAGTTCTAATCTTATTTTACTTATTAATTATTATGACTTTTACCATAGATCAAATATACATAGATAGTAGTGCACAGGCATATAAAATACGGAAACTGTTTAGAAAAAGAAATGGATGCAATAAATACACAGGTATTATAGGATTGCATTCAAAGTTGTGTTACCAAAAATGTATACACTTCAGTACAAATATTTTTGTATACTTAAATGTTGCATTTGTAAATTAGTTGATGTCATCCATCTCTTCTTTCTATTACATTACTTTCTCTTTACCCTCTCCTCAATAACAAATTAGGTATAGAGTAAAGATGGATATATTTATATTCACTTCAGCTGTGTGTAACGACAGATTTTTTTAATTTCTGCATGGAAACAATTAAGTGTATAAACATTTTATTGTGGCAGTATATAGTGTGATCTATCTATATGTGTTAAATCTATGGTCTTCAATTATTGACTATATTTTAGTACATAAGCACTTATAAATAAAAAAGTTTTATAAAAAACTGTTTACACAAAGACTACTGATAAACTTGATATTTAGATTTTATAAAAGTTAAAAGTATACATGAAAATGTATTACCTGATTGATTATTATTTGTTTGAATTTTATGTATTAATTATTATAAGCTGTTTAAAAATATTCAAAAAGGTACAATATAGATTGACAAAAATCCAATTGACATTTATAATTTTGTTTCCAAAAAAGTTTTTTAAAATTTATATTATTATAATTTCCCAATTGATGGTGTTACATTTTATATTGTATTACTCTAGTAATTATAAGGAATTAAAATTAGTAAATGTTTAAGATTTATTATTTTAATTTTTCTTATTTTTTTTATTGATAAATGAAAAACAGATAACATTTCCTTTATATATGTGTTACAAAAAACATATTTTTCCTATTTTCAATGTTTTCATTATAATTATAATATGTTTATGTTTAAAATATGTATATTTAATGATAAAACAGTAATTAAAAATAATATTAAAAAAACCTGTTCAAAACTATTATTTGTTAACATTTATTCAGGTATAGTTATTTAAAATGACCTACGCATAAAGTTGACTTTTTTTACAATTTTTGACTAACTAGACAAAAAATAAATGTATTAATTTTTATCATTTCAAATTATCATTTAGCAGTACACTTTGTATTGATATTTTGAATGTACTGTGTTGATTCCTAATTTATTCAAATTCTTAAGTATGAATAAAGATAAAAACTAATGATTTAAATATTTTATAGATACATATATATATATATATATATATGAATTAAATTGTACTGTATTCCCTAAAGACTTCTCTGATCTCTTGTTCACTACAAAATGTAAATGTAGTGCATCAATGATTTTATATTAACCTTTATAAATTTTTTTTTTAAATTAGTATTACTTTTATACTATTATATGAAAGTATTTAAATTATAATTTTTATATAATTATATAATCTAATGTATAAAAAAACTTTGTTTCTGATTAAATTTATTAAAGAATTAATATTATGTACTTAATTTATACATTTTTGTTTTTTTACTATTTAAGTTCTATATACAAGAACGAGCCATATCATGTTACTATAGAAAATACGTAAACTTAGAATAACTAATAATTTTTTATTCATTGGAGTTTGTTTACTTTGATAGAGATTTTAATTTAGCAATACTATATCAAGGTTTCTATTCCTATTCAAATTGGATGCTTTTTGTTTAATCTTTCAAATTGATGTTTTCTACTTATATCTAATAATGATAACATGATTGTTCTTTTATGTGTGCTGCTGAACTGTACATTTTTAAATCAATCTTGTCAGAAAAATCTAATGGTTCTAGCTAATTTAAAAAATTTTTGTACACTTTTTTTATAATAATAATGAAAATTTGTTTAGGTTAAAATTTTTTTCATTGCGTGTCTGTTATAATTTTTTTTAGGGATGTGGTTTTGTCACTTAAAAAGATGTTAAAAATATAAATTTCACATCATAAACACTTTTTAAATAATTAGAAAAAAATTATTTTTTATTATACTTATTTATTTATGTATTCAGTTACAATTATTCAAACAAAGTAAAATGTATCTAATATTATTATAATGTGACAAGACCGAGTGAAGTCTGGGTCATCCAGTGAAGATACTCAATTTTTTTATAATTCTTAAAACTAACTGGGAACTTGAATACAATCTAAGTGTAATTTTTCCCTTTATTTTTGGTTTCCACCCCTTCAATAGACTTGCTACATAATGAAATATTGGTTCAGCGGTTAGAATATATCAGGGGCCCAAAGCACATCAACGTAAAAACGATACGTTGATTGAAGCTAAAAAAACAACCGTGAAGGACACGTAAACTAAGTATTATATTAAAACTACGGAATTTTTTTTTTTTTCATCAATGCGAGTTATTATTTGTAAACTAAACCAAAATGGCTAAATTGAGTTAATATCGCTGTCCTAATTTTAAAGTTTTAGGTTGAAATAAATAGAAAAAAATTATTGAACTTTTCACTGTTTCATTCAACAACTTACATTAAAAAAAAAATCTCTTGTAGAACTGTACTGTATTAATGCCCAAAGTTGTACGGCTGCTATTAATTATTGTAAAAGTAGAACAGTATGAAACTAAAAAACGCTAGTTTTACTTTTTAAAATTACTGTAGCCTGACTACCTACATATTTAATATAATATTAAAATTATGATGTATGAATCATATAAAACCCTGCAATATCGTATTGTATGATATGAATTAGGAAATATAGAAATTTCCAATGAAAATATATCATCGGTATTCTCTTATTATTGTATTGTAATTAGTAGTATCAAATACTATAAATGGTATTTTATAGTATTTGGTAGTGTTGACTCATGACTGTTGTTAGTTGTATCATTATATCTATTCTGTGGTTGTATTGAGTATTGTACAATGATAAGTATTAATTGACGTTGGCGTGGAGGTAGTTTCATGGAGGTCAATATTATGTGGCGCACGGTCACAATCGACCCGGTGCGCCGCCGATGCGGTAAGCGTCGTTCACATGAAAACGACTGTCGGCTCAGTGCTTCTGTTCGCCGCTGTTGTGTTTACATCTGCTCCTCTCTCGCCACCCATTATCCTGCAGATGAAATTCCGTTGACTGCCGTTTGACCGGATATCGTTTGAAAACCACTCGACTCGCTTTAACAACATTGACATTTATGTAAACGTAACCTAACGGCGATTGATTTAAAGTCCGACTTTTTCCCGTCTCTCAGCATTTTCAATACGCGTCTGTTACGCTAACCAGCAGCAATAATGGCGTCCGCTGCTACAACTTTCAACCAGAACCGTCGCATGCCACCTTCAATGCAAATTCAAAAGGTACTTTTATGTTTTAGTAATCTATCAAATCAACGAATCATACGTCTTATACTTGCGAATGCCTTTTATTTCTAAAGAAACTCGTTGTAGAAGTTAATATTTCCATTAATGTTTTTGCATAATATAACTAATCGATTTTCCTTTTTATTTTATTTATAATAATTGTATTATTATCCATTTTCAAATATTTTTTAAATTATTATTTATCTATTGTCACAAGGTATAACTAATAAAAAGACAATCGAAGAACTACCTATAGCCTGCGTTCCAAAAGAGAATGTACCGATTTTGCGCATCACGACTGGCGGCTGCTGAGAGGAAAATTTCTTCCACTCTTGCCAAAATGTGGTGTCGATATTACCCAACGGTCTCGGTCCGAGCCACAAACCTAGGGAGATGCACGCTGCTAAACGTAAATCAGTCCCTGCCCGATATGTTCTCTTTTGGATAGCAGTATAGTATGATATGTAAACTAGTATCATACATTTCTAGCAAGTAGCATAGTAATGCTATGCCAATGATTATTAGTTTGCAACTGAAAGTGAACACATCCATAAACTCTTTATAATTCTAGTACACTATAAAAATCCTAACAGTAAGAAGTGTTGATTGTTACCATTAACAAATATATACCTTCTCAGATTTGCATTATCACTTTAATAATAACAATAATATTTAATAATAATACATTTAATAGTAGTAATATTTTGCTAATTTAGAAAATATTCCACTCAAATGATCAATCGGGAAGTATGTTTGCTCACAATTTTAGATGGCATTGCTATTATTGCTATTTTTTATTTTCATAAAAATGATATATATTTTTATAACGTTTTTATGAACTCACAATCTTGTTTGTCGTTCCGGGTGGAATTTTGCAACCCAAATTTCGAGCACTTCCCGATTAGCTATCTGGCTAAAACTTTCAGGGTAGCTCACAATTTGATGACAATGCATTATTAATCCACAAGAGGGTGAAAATTCCACCTCTAAGGGGTTAAAATGGGGTCGATTTCTTGTCCGTCGTTCCGGGTGGAATCGTGCAATTCAAAAAGACTTATTTCTCACCCGCCAGCAAAAATGATGCGTGGTGCATTTGGGCGTGAACAGTGCTTAGATATAAGCTGGTACGGTTCAAACCCGTTCCCATCATTACACTTTTTTGCATTTTCTTACAACTTTTATGATAATTTATACAGTAATAAATCTAAAATTATAAGCTTTTAAATTAAAATATATATATATTAGATTTATTACTGTATAAATTATCATAAAAGTTGTAAGAAAATGCCAAAAAGTGTAATGATGGGAACGGGTATATATATATATATTATATATATGTATATTCGTTATATAACATTGTACATTTTTAATATATAGATACGTACATACGAAAACAAAAAAGAACAAAATAACTAAAATAGATTAAAAAATTAATCTATAAATAACGTTTTTATGTGCCTTAAAAAGTATAAAATAACCCTCAGGGGGTCTTGATAACCAAATAGGACAGGTGAACTAAAAAAACGTGGGGCGCATCTTTACTACTTCACACGTCTGAATATATAATAACATTCTCTTCATCTTTTCTCTTCTAAATTATATAATACTTAATGATATGTCATGTAAAATTGAGCACCACATTACTTTAAATGTTAAGCAAGTAGGTAGTTAACAAACAAATTGAAGCAACCTACATAAGAAAAACTTTTGAGAGAATAGCAATTAGGTCTTTTCAATTTGCAATGAAATTTAAGGCAAGTGGCACGGAAATCCATTAAATTTCATTTCCGATAAAAAGTCATACTATCACTTTCTTCGGTTAGAGAGACAACCTAATGCATTAGCATGAAAGCTTAGGTTTTTATATCTAAGTAGAAAGATGCGCCCCACGTTTTTCTAGTTCACCTGTCCTATTTGGTTATCAAGACCCCCTGAGGGTTATTTTATACTTTTTAAGGCACAAAAACGTTATTTATAGATTAATTTTTTAATCTATTTTTAGTTATTTTATTTCCTTATATACAATTTTGATTGGTAAATAAAGTTTCCAAGTTAACAATATGCTTTTTGTCATTCCTGAATAATAGTCATTTTTTTTTTTGTGATTAGAGCAATTGTGTTAGCGATATGGGATATTACGTATTTCATACCAAATTATTTCAATAAGTTTCTTTTAATATTAAGTTTTGTATAGTGTTTTTTACATATTTTATAAAATTATTTCTATTTAATTTTTCAAGACACTGGTCGTTTATATTCTATTGAGACCAAGAATTTGATATAGATTTGTTTTTTTTTATTAAGCAGCAAGTAGTCATTTCTTATAAAATATTATAAATTTCATATTTTTACAAAAAATATTAATTTCTTTTTCGCTTAGTTACGATCAAAACCTGCTCAACAGTTTTACCTGAAAATGTATACATACAACTCTTATATTACCTATAGGTATTTTTTTCCTTTTATATAAAAAATATAATTAGTGATAATTTCAACTCATTTTAATAGATCTAAATTTTGACTCTTCTATTTGTATATTATAATTTATTTACCATTAATGCTTCAAAATGATAACCTTATAATTGTAATAAATAATATAATTGTTATATTAATTGTCTTTCTCTGATTAATTTATGAACTATGACTTTATAGATTCTAGATGAAAATGCTCAACTGATTCAAACTATTCAAGATTACCAAAATAAAGGGAAAGCTCAAGAATGTATGCAGTAAGTTGCAAATCTTATTTGTATATTAAAACTAATATTGTATTTTTGTCATGTAAATCATTCATATCTATCGTTTTTAAATTTGACTGGCGTTTACACTATCTGTAAAAAAAAATGTGCCACATGTAATGCCTGCTGTTAGAATGGAGAAGACTGTTGAATATTCTCTAGTTACAGAAAACACAAAAGAAATTTCAAGTATGCAAGCGCATGAAGGTTAACTTTTTTTCATTTTTGAAGAGTTAACACCTAATTTCTTTTATTACTTCAAAACTTAATTTGACAAATTTGATCTTAAGTAAACAAAAATAGTATTATCTTTAGCCTTAATATAACAAACAAAGCTAGTAAAGTGGGATCAGGTCATAGTGGGGACAGGGAGGTCTTACAGCAATTATTATAATTGAAAGTGATAAAACCACTTTTAAATGAACGCCTTGATGCGAATTTGTGGATAGTAGGGGTTCAGTACAGTCCAAACTAAGCACAGTTTTAACCAGCACAGTAAAAAAGTATTATATGTGAGTAGTAGTAGTAAGTAAGGGATTGTCATAAATATTATTCGTAAGTGAGTAATTAAAGGGAGGTCCAGTGTTTACAGATAAAAATACAAATAAAGATAAAAACATTGTATCTAATGACAATTATGTGCCTACAAAATAAATTTTTAGTATTAAGGTGGATACAATTATGGTTGATCGTCTGTCTATAAATGTTTACTGCCATAGTTACTCATAATTAACAATATAATTTAAATATTTTTATTACCTTTAGTACTTATTTTACCACACTTTCTAATTATTTAAAAAAACAGTGGAATTGGTTCCAAATTGGTATGGAATATTCTTTAGGCATAATTCTACCGATATACGTCTGCAAACCAAAAAAATGTCTTAAACCCTTTCCCCTAAAAGAGATCAAAATTGTTTCCTTATTTCGGTTATTTAGGTGAAGTTCAAGCGATTTAGGTCCAAAAATTAGACTGAAGGTAGATCTAAAATTATTGGTCTACAACATATAAATTTTTCTTAAAAATTTGTAGTCAAACTTTTTTGTTTTAAAGAAAATCCAAAAAAAAAAGGAAAAACTTAGTACTAGTAAAGTCCTAGGATGTCATGTGTGAGTGAATAAACAGTAAACAAGTATTTAAAAATATTTTTATTATAATGTTAATTATATGGGTAACAACGGCAATAAATTATTATAGATAGAGGATCAACCCTAATTACATCCACCCTAATACTACTAAAAATTATTTTTTAAGCACATTATTTTTTGTTATTAAAAGCTATATCGATGGCTTTTTCTGCCATTACAGATTTGATGTGAAGCGTTCATATGAATTTGATTATATCACTCAGTTGTAATAATTCATATAAATCTCTAATAGAGGGTCCCCCATGTGCTCTGTCACCACTATGTTTCGTCCCTAGTGTACTGGCTTTTTTAGTTGGTTTAAGGTTAATATTAAGTCATTTTACTAACAATTCGTAATTAACTCAAAGTAGTACCCACAGTAGTCTCTCGCAATATTGTTTTCTGGGACTTGACAAATTATAATAAAAAAAGTTACATATAAATTATAAAAAATAAAATGTTGAGTGAATTTTGTCAAGTACTTAGACCTAATTACAAAGTAATAGACAATAGTTGGAAATACCTAATATTAATCTAGAAGTATACAATTGTAAAATTAAAAAAAAAAAGTATTTTATTCCTTTCTTTGGGGATTTATTAATATTTAAATATTTCCCACTAAAATCACAATATTTATATAATAATACCATATTCACGTTTATATGGGGATCCTTAGAAATGTCTTCCAAACAAATTTTGATTAAAATTGCTTAATTTTTTTTTTTTGTTATAATATGGCTAATAGATGTGTTTTACTCTTTGCATTTAGTAGAAATTTAGCTTATAAAAAAATAAATAACTGATGGGATACACCCTTCAAAAAACAAATCAAGTTAAAATAAGTACTATACTAATAGGTTCTATTATTTAAAATTGTTCTATATTCAAAAAAAAAAATAATAATAATAATAGCATTTAATAATAAACAAATGAAAGAAAGATACAAGAGAAAAAATAGTTACTAAAATTGATCAACACATATTGACATATTAAGTTATAATCATAATATTAAACCACATTTTTTTAAGATTTCAGCAACTTCTTCATCGTAACTTAGTCTACTTAGCTTCTGTAGCAGACTCAAACCAAAACATTCAAACATTGTTGCCGGTTTGTAAAAATAATAAGTTATTTTTAAAACTATTTTTTAATAAATCATTGAATTTTATTTCCACTTCCTTAGCCACCTAGCATAAATCAACAACAAACTATGCAAATTCAAGGTCAACAGCATATGCAACAGCAACAGCAACAGCAACTTCAACAGCAGCAGCAACAACATCAACAACAGCAACAGCATCAGCAACCACAACCTCCATCAGCATCATCTATGATAAGTGGACAAGACAGTCAAAACCCTCAAGTTATGCAACAACCTCAACAACAAGGTCCACCACAGCAGGCTATGAATCAAGTGTTTACACAAGGACAAGGAGGACCCCCTGGTGGATATCGTCCTCAACAATCTATTGCTCCAATGAGTATGTCTCTATGTAAAATGTCTAAACCTTACTAGTCTCTCAGTTATAGTAAATTTTGTTATGGATAAATTTCTTATGAAATTATTTTGCTTCTGTTTTGCTTCTTTTACACGCGCATTTATACAATTTTATCAAATTTATGACTAGTTAATGTGATACAACAATTTTTATAATGCAGCGTATGTGTTAACAAATGTTTAAAAATGAGTTATTTTTGTTCATAACTATAAGTGATTTAGTTATGATTTTAATAGTGTATGTTATTCGTATTAGGAGGAGTGGCCGAGTGGGTAAGGCGGCAGTTTGTTAGTAGTTCGACACTCGGTCACAGGCGCTCCGTTTGCTGGGCGAGCAATCGTCCGGTAAAAAGGAACCGCCATCCCCCTCTCCGGCGACAGATTGACAACACATCCCGGAAGCGAATTCGTCAAGAAACCATCTCATGATGGCAGCGTTGGGTCTTCATGGCCCGTTAAGCTACATGATGATGATGTTATTCGTACTTAGATAGATTATTAATATAAAAATTAGTATTACTTATACTAATTAAGATATTTTCCTTTCACATGCATTAATTAAATTTTTTAAATATAGTCAATTTTTAATTTTTGTGTTACTATTATATATGGTATAAAAATGATTTTTTTTTTAAGGGCCACCAACACCATCTCAACAATATAGACCTTCACCTCAATATCAAGGACAACAACAAGGATATCAAAATTTTGCATCCACTCAAGGCGCAGTTGTTTCTGGTCAAACAGGTGGTCCTGGAGGAAGTAATGTGTACAATCAAGCGCCACCAAATCAACCATATCCAGGTCCAGGTTATGGCCACCAACAGCCAGTAACCAGTTCTAATTATCCAAATCCAAATTATGGCAATGCACCGCCCAATCAACAGTATCAACCTAATAGTCCTTATGCTAATCAGCAACCTGGTAATTATCCACAAAGTGCTGCTGGTCAGCCACAAAACTTCCCACCTAATTATCCGCCAGGTGCGTACGGACAGCAACCAGTAAGTTCAAGTAGTGGTTATGGCCCTCCGTCTAATCAACCGTCATCATATTCTGGTTATGGAAATGGTCCTCAAAATACGTATGCAACTTCACAAACTACACAATCAGCTCCATCAGCATCTACCCAAACATCTTATCCGCCTCCTCCTAATCAAACGGTACCAAATGCTGTGGCTGGACAACAGACTGCACCAACACCTACACCTAATTATCCTCCATCACAACAACCAAATGCTCCACAATACCCACCCCCAAACAGTGGTCCAAATCAGCAGCCTGTACCATCTCAAAATTACCCTCCCCAACAAGGATACAATCAACCACCTCCCCAAAGTTACCCCCAAGGTTATCCAGCACCTGGTCAACCAGGTGGATATCAACAATACCAGCAAAGACCTTTAGCTCCTCCATCAAATCAATCTCAATACCCAGGTTATTCATACCAACCGTCACCTGTTGGGTAAAGGCTTAAAAATTAATACATACATGTAGAATTATGAATCATGTCTTAATGTTATATTATCATCATAGATATCATTTTATATTTTATTTAGATGGATTATGTTAAAAAATGTTTCTTGTATTTGTTCATGTAATAATTATTGTACTATTTACTCTCGGTTTGTAATTATTTTTATTCCAGGTGTATGGCTAATAATAATTTATTTTACAATTAGTTTAATTTGTGATGATATTAGTATTTTAAATTCGAGTTTTTTACTAAAGATTACACATAATTAATGGTAAACTAAATTTAAGAATTATGTATATATTATTTTTTCTCATCAATTATTTGTACTTGTTTCTTATGTTCAATTGATATATGTTAAATACATCTAGACATGCATATTTTTTATGTTAAACATTTTTTTCTACTATTAGTTTTTTACTATTAGAAGTGGTATGTTCATCTCGTATGTTTGTAAGTAAAGCTTTTTTCATTAAAACTAATAAATAAGAATATTTGACTTATGAAATGTAATATTATAAGCAATTTAAATTTTCGTTTGGTAAATAAATATGATTAATTAACTACATAAATGATAAAGCGTTAATATTTTGTACTTATGTACATATTATAGAGCATTGTATATATGAGCACTGGGCAGTATGTAAAAATACTACTAGGTTTTAGGTAATCAAATATGGGCATCTAGTTTTTTTTGTAAAATATTGATTTTGGTTAAAACGGAAACAAGAATAGTAGAAATTTTTCCAAGTTTCAAGTTACAACTTAAATTTTTTTTTAAGTTATACTTAAATGGTATACTATTAGTACATTTAAATAATTGATAATTGACAATTACTTATAGTTAATTGTTGTTTTATTTCCTTATCAGACAAACATAATTCATAACGCCCAAATCCTAAGGTTTATCAATACTTTTCTAATTTTAACAATAAACATACTCAAGGCTATTGGGTACCGGCCAATTTTTCCGTCAAAAACAACCCATTTAACTTTAATTGGTCCGATTATTGTATTGAAGCGAAAGAACTTCTGAAAACAGATTTGAATTCGGCATGAAGTCGGTTAGAGTATTTTTTTTAATTTTTAATTTTAACCCTTTCTAAATTTGATTTTTTAATTTGGAATTTTATATAATGTTCAAACGTGTTTTATACATAGTAAGAATAAGCTATCAAAAAAGTACTCCGACCGACATCAAGACGCAGGTAGACTTCATGACGAATTCAAATCTGTTTTCAGAAGTCTTATCGCTTCAATATAATGATCGATTCGATTGAAGTTAAATGGGTAATTTTTGACGGAAAAATGAACTAAAATGGCTTTTATTCATGGACAAAATTATTTGAATTAAAAATAATACCATGAAGCTTTTATAAATTAAACGGTAATTAGTTGACATGGTCGAAATTTATTAAAACCACTTTTTTCTAAAATATCGCCTATATAAAACTCCTTAAAAAATGGCCAGTACCCAATAGCCTAATAGCCCATAACCCATTTTGCTATATTCATGATACAGTTTAAATGATAAACACGAAAGTACATTTTTGTAACTTCCTTTATTAAATAGGCTTTTCAGAATTTTATGCAAGTTATTTTTCTATAAAATAGGTAAAACATGTTTATTTTTAATAATAATTATTATTTTTAACTCGTTTAAACGAGGACTATTATTACTTAATATGGCCAAAATAGTTCTAGTAAGTACGTTTTTATTTCAACACAATTTTTTTTATTCTAATTGGTAATTCCTAATTAATGTGAAAACCCTGAACAAATGTCAATTTCTAGCAGACTATGTTTTTGATAATCCCTTTAGGCGGGACAGAACATTGAGTTATAATTATTAAAAACTATTAGTAGGTTACTGAATTTACAAATGGAATTATTATACAAATATTTAATATCAAGTTAGGCGTTAAGTCGTTTATTTTTTATAAACCGTAAATCGAAATTGGCTAAAGGTATTATAACCTAGGTACAGGCGTTTTGTCTGAAGAATTATTAAATGACTTATTTATTTAACAATGAATATTAAACAGTTACTCATGTTTATCTATAATCAACATACATAAATAGTTAGTTTCGTATATATGATGTACGTTTGTCTGCGATGCTCTTCCAAATCTACGACATGCATAGATCTGTCATTAGATTTTATTGTTATAACTCGGCGTACGACGTATTGTAGGCAATCGTTCTAAAACCACTATAGTTTTAAAACGAATGGTTTTATCCATTTTTTGTACATCAAACATCTCGATTAGAATAAAAAAATATACCATAATCAATTTTTAAAATTACAAATATGTACATTTTACATTTTTCAATGCTTTCTTATGGGAAGATAAGCTTGCGCTATTGGCCACTGCAGCGCTGAGTGTTCAGTGTTCCGATGTCTAAAACCGTGCCTGGAACTACATACGTATGCTCCGTCTAGTAATCTCACAAGATAATTGATATGTAAATCAACTAATTAAATATGATCGAGGGTAGGAGGAGTGGCCAGTGCGTAAGGCGTCAGTGCATTTGGTGCTTACTGTTGTCGATTTTCGGTCATGGGCGCTCTTTTTTGATTTAGCCAGTGACGCCAAAACTTAGATATTTTCTTTTTTTTTCAATTTTTCTACATCATGGCTACACTGTTCATTTCTCAAATGCCGTACATGAACAACAATGTCGTCGCCATTTTCCCCATTTGTCGAGTGAACAGTTAGCCAGAATGAACGAAAATTGAGAATTTCCTTACATCTACCAGCACTGTTCATTTCTCGATAATTTCCAAGATGTTGGACATAATTTTATCTCGTCCCATAAAAGCCCACGTAAAATGTGTTTATTTTTTTTCTGTTTTTTCTGTGGTATACATACTATCATTTTTAGCTTCGATGCAGAGCTGAGTAGGTATTGTATTTTTACAATTTGTTTTTAATTTGCAAAAATAATTATTTTTGTCTACTCACGATACTTTTAAACCGCTGAACCGATTTCTTCGTGTAGCAACTCTATAGATCACAAATCGTAAATATAAGGTACCTACTTTATTAGACCAACAATTTTAAAAATTCATCTCTTCTCGAGAAAAACACAAAAAAAAATAAAATATTTTTCAACTAAAAATTACGTGGCTCCATAACTTTTTTAAAAATAGTCCAATTAGTTCCAAATTTTTTTAGAATATTTTTTAAACATTGTATTGACATTCATTGACAAACCAAAAATGTATCTCAAACCCTTTCCTATAAGGTGAACAATTTTATCAAAATTGTTAGTCAAACTTTTTTTTTTATTAAGGTAAACTCCAAAAAATGGGAAAATTACACTTTGGTCGTAGTCGATTTCCAGATTGCTTTGTGTGAATAGTCAATATTTTCATTATATTGTTATTTACGATGTATGGGTAACTATGGGATAACATTTTTATAGATAGACGATCAGTCCTAATTGTCATCATCATGCGAGCTTAACAGGCCATGGCCCACGATGGCACTACGTTGCCACCATGAGATGGTTACTATAGAACTGTGGCAATACAATTTTGTAAACAGACAACCCTATTCGTATCCACCAATATACTAAAAATTCATTTTTAAGCACTTAATTGTCTTTAGGTACAAAGCTTTTATCGATATTTGTATTTTTATCTGTGAACATTGGACTCCTTAATTCACTTGCTACTACTACTCACTTACGAATAATATTTTTTGTCTGTGCTGGTTTATCTGTGCTTGGTTTCGACTGTATTGGTTTGAACCTACTGTCCACAGATTTGCATTGATGCGTTTAGTTAAAAGTGATTTCATCACATTCAGTTATAAAAAATCAACGATGTCACAAGATAGATTTTCTAAGTTATTTGTTTTACTCATTGAACGAGAGATGTCTAATAAAATAAATAGAGTAAATATAATAAATGCATTTGATGAAAAGGATTGGTAACACTATCAGTTATAATAATATCTGTAGACCTTTCTGCAACTACCAGTCCGGTCCCCACTATGCCCCGACCCCACTGTACTGGCCTTTTAACAGACATTTGAAATAGTTTTAAACCACAATATATATAAATTATAATCCAAACTCACGTATTCGACTGTGATAAAATTAATTTAGTGCTATAATAACTGCAGTTTCTAAAAATTTATTTGAAATTTATTTTTTTGTTTAATTTACATTTGTATATTTTTTCATGGATCGACTATAATGACATCGTCAACATCGTCCATTTCAAAAATTGGATCGTCTACCTGAATAGCTTGGTCGAGTACGTCATGATTCTCATCAACAGGATCCACTTCGTTGCTTGAGTCGTCGTTCGCGACATTTATGTTGTTCTGTCGGCTATTCCTTTCAATATTTCTACGTCCTTCTTCTGACAGTCTATCTCTATCTGGAGGCATATAGTCCTTGATGTTAGCCAACCCTTTTAAAACGCACGTTGACAAGGCGGATCTGAAAATATGCATGTTCCTAGCTTCGAACCTGTGACATCAGTTTTACTATATTTCAAAACACTTAAATATTCCTGTTAAGTTTCGGATTTTAAACCGAAAATTTAAAGTTAAACACATTGGTTTACCATTCGTTTGTACGGTCGTTGTAACACTCTACATGGGCAATTGTCGTGACTCCGTTGAATCCTCCAACCACAAAAATCATATCGTCCAAAACTTCGACAGCAAAATTGCTTCTCGGATTGCTCATGTCCACGACCGAAGCCCAAGTGTTTGTAACCGGATTGAATTTCTCTCCACTGTTCATACGAGATATGCCGTTAAAACCTCCTATGACGTATAGAAATCCATGGTATGCTATGCAAGATACGCCGCTACGTCTTGAATGCATTGGAGGAATTAACGTCCATTCGTTGGTGTCTGGATTATATGTTTCAGCTGAGTTCATACATTCTTGGCCGTTAAATCCTCCAGTTATGAACAATTTACCTTAAAACAAATAAATAAATGTGATCCTTAAATTGAGTATGACTATGGACTAGGTATTCTGAACACCCTCAAATTAGTAGAATATTAGTAGAATTGTGTATTGTTCTTTGTACTCAATTTAAAATCGATAGTTTTCTCACACACAAATTTAAAAAAATTATAATTACATTTTTAAGCTTCGATGCGTGGCTGAAAATGTATTGTTTTTTGCAATCATGTTTTTCTAAGTCACTGAAGAAGGGGTGGAAACTTTTCCTTTATTTCACTTTTTGAGTTTAAGTTTTAGGGTTTTAGGTCTGAAAATTACACCAAAGGTAGATCTAAAATGGAACTATAACTTTTAACGATTTTTCTCAAAAATCTATGATCAAACAATTTTTTGTATTAAGGAAAAACCAAAAAATAGGAGAAAATTATACTTTGACTGACAGTTTCCAGGTTGCTATGTGTGAGTGAATCAACAATCAATAGATAATAAAAACACTTTCATTTTAAAATTTTTAAGCGCACAATAATTTTTACTAGGTACAATGCTTTTATTGATATTTGTATTTTTATTTGTAAATACTAATCCTCCCTTACTTACTCACTTACGTATAATACTGTCTTACTGTGCTGGTTTATACTATGCTTGCTTTAGACTACATTGGTTTGAACCTACTATCCACAGATTCGCATCGAAGCGTTTATTTTAAAGTGATCTTATCACTTTCAGTTATAATAATTCTTGTACACCCGTGATTAAAATACACAAGGTTATTGCACATATAACCCTTCTGCACAAAATATTTGATGATAAAAACAAATAGGTACGTCAGCATAACGGGCAGCCAGTCAAAATCAAGTAAATAAGTACACGGTATAATATATAGTAAAATTGATATCCCGTTACGCTGCCATTTTATTTCTTAAGATACAATTCGATACGATGTGCAATGACCTGTATATTTCAACCACGTATATCTATGGCCTCCCCGTCCCCTCTAAGTCATGACCCCATTCTACTGACTTTTTTATCGTCGTTATATAAAATTTTAAAAAATGGTATACCTATTACACGTAATATGTTAATATGATATTATCCTAATATGTTTATATCATTCACCGTTCATAATAGTAGCGCATGCGTCGCTTCTTTGAAATGTCATCGGCGCTATCATTGACCATTGATTTCGCTGTAAATCAAATTTTTCCGCCGTATTTTGTCTGTGATGCCCATCATATCCACCCATTGCGTATATATAACCATCCAGTAACGCAACGCTGACATAACACCTAATATTTACTAAATTAACTGAGCGCAAACCCACATATTACATAATATTTACTTATTGATTACAGGGATATTTATTATAGATAAAACACTTATTTTCTCCCAAAATATTTGCAATTTTGTTTTTGCTATTTTACAATATAATAAAATTACTAGATATTTCTCTTTTTAGTGTATTCCAAAGGTCTTATCAATTTTTTAAACGGGAAAATTAAGTTTCAAATACTAAATTATTAATGTTTAATATTTAGGACGAGAGGTGAAGTTAAGTTAAGTAACGCGCGTAGATAATCTCTACATTTCACCCTTTCTCCCGTCTTAACCTTTAAACTTTAATAGCTTTAAAAGCCATTATCTAAAAATGGTTATCGACCCGTCAAAATTTTCCGTTATTTATTTTTAATTAAATACATACGTTCCCTTTTAAGTTTCAAAAGTTGATAACGCTTTGGGAAAAATAAAATTTGAATGTTCTCTAATATTGTAAAATAACAAATTAAAATAACTTCAAAAAGAAAAATTACAAAATTAATAAATCACCATGTATAACAGAACTGTCGTAATTTTCAACTATAATACCTCACCTTCGGCAATTCATGGGTGCAACTTCTTCCCAAACTTTCGAGAGCGTGTTGAATTTCCTACACGAATTGAAGTAATCTAACCCGTCGAATCCACCAATGACGTATATATAATGATCTATGACAATTGTGCCGTGGTAGGCTCTCGGTCCTAGCGGATCTTCTTCGTACACTCTAGTCCACCGGTCGGATTTAGTGTCGTAGGTTTCTATGAACCCGGTTGGGCTGCCACCACTCCAACCTCCAATTGCGAACATAACTTCATACGGATATCTAGGTCTAGCCAACATCGGTGCTATTGAGTTCGTTGTGTTGGATGTTAATTGGAGATCATATAAAAACTTCAGTGTTTCTATTATATAGGGTTTACAATCAGCCCGACCTTGTACATAACGGTTATCCTTAACCTAATAGTTTACAACAGTATTATAAAAATGCAAACAATACGAGCGCATTACTGTACGTTTTCAAGAAAATACTGTGAGTCCATGAGGCCGAAACGGACTTTGGAAAGTAAATGTACAATATTGTCTTTTCTATTTTCCGGATCTTTGTCGACCCATTTAACTACGTTATCCCACACTCGCTCTTCATACTTGACGTTTAATTCACTGTCTTCGATTATTTTGCCGAATTCCTCGTGCGTAAGTATCAGTAATTGGTCGCTTTGTTCCGCAATGTTCATAAATTCTCTTATAATGTATCGATATGCTACTTCTTTTAACGATCCGAAGTAAAAATAACTTTACGTAAATTGTGATAAAACAAGTATAAATTAACAATTTTAAAGTTTTGAATATGATTAAGAACATACTCGGCAAATTGCATTATGCTAACACAATTGTCGGGAGTTAATATTTCTGTGAGAAATTCATGACAAAGCTGCACCAAACCTTCGATTCCTAAGTAATCCGCTGTTCTCATAATATCTGTAGCATTGTGACACGTGATGTCCACTTGTCTAAGATATATATATTGAAGTATAGATTCCATTGCAAGACTGTCGACTAATTTCAGATTGATTTTCGTGAATTCACCTTCGTGCAAAGTTGTAGTGAACAGAATTCTACACCAAGAAATATTTTTAAGATAGTTTTTGATTATTTTTAGTAACTTGTCATTCGTTCAAGTACAATTTTAAGTTATATCCGACCTGAAATAGTCACTGGATCCGCTAAGAACAGATCGGTGTACTGGAAAAACGTCCCCACTGTCAAGTATCAATGACGCATCACAAAGTTTGGCATTTAGTCTAAGTTCGTTGAAGCCAATTAATGTGTGCATTGACACTTGTCGTGTCAATCGGCGCCTGTACGATTCCTCATTATCCTTCATTTTTTCTTGTACTTCTGTATTTACGATATCCGATTATAATATAATATTAGAAGTTAATTATCACTATAATTCAATCGCAATTAATTAATTTAGTTCCACTTAACTTACCGGACATTACTAAAAGTGCATAAAATTTAGCTTTTATAAAAACCGCAAATAAAATTTGATATTAAAACAACGTGTATAATATGATTTACTATCTCAGTATAGTCTTTAAATATAAAACTTTTTAAAACAGGTAGTTCGAACTAATATAAAACACTTATTTATTTATATAAATATTTGGTAATTTATTTAGCCAGTGCCTTATTGAAATAATGTTTGTACATTAAAAAAAAAAATTTAAAGAATATTTATTATCACCTGTACAATTTTGCTACAGACTTTGAAAGCTATTAAGTATATATATATTTAATGATAATAGAAATTGGTTTATATAATATAGATTAAAACAACTGCAAAAGATGTTACTGTAATTTAGTACAGTATAGTAGTCTAGCAGTAGTACTACTTTCAAATTATTATCTGAGATCAGGCAATCTCATCTTACACTTCAGTTAATGACTTTACTGACGACAAATCAATTATAGACAGCAATCCTAACCCTATCCTAGCCTCTACCTGTATTCAAGGTCACCTGGACACTATCTGCTCGAAACTGGTACAAAAAATGTTGTGTAAAAAGTTCATCCATTGTACATTCACATAGATTATGTCCTACACTATTTCTTAACAACTTGCCTCTTAACAACCCAATGCTGCTCATTCCGTGCGCTACCTTAGTATCATCATCAATCATCGATTTATTTGGCTACCTCACGTAACTTGTGAAGTAGGATTACTTAATCGTAATAAATATTTTGTAAAGTAATACACTTAGAAACATCCTCCTAACACAAGCGCTGCTTATTTTTTGGGGATTATTAACCTTCATGCACTCGCGCCTCCTAAAGTTACACTGCCGCTCGCGAGGACGGCAATTTGGCCGTCCTTATTTTTTTATCATTTTCGTGAGTTATTCTTTATTTAATGTGGATGTTTCGAAATATTTAGAGTTAATTACCTCTAACACAACATTGGAACATAAAAAATGTTGACTAAAAATGTTTATTTAAAAAATAATAGAAATATCCTTCATCCGCTCGCATAGACGGCAAATTGGCCGTCCTTTTAAATTTTCGAGAAAAATTGTCTTCAGAGCACCGAGGAGTGGTAAAAGGTTCTTGTAATTTCTATTGACACTTGCCTTTCCTATATGGCTCCTTTTTCATTATATAAATCCATATCGTAAGTATAAAAAATACAGGCAAAAATTCTCGTTTTCGCTCGCGTGGATGGCAAGTTGGCCGTCATACTGACACTACTGAGTTTGTGGCTATACTGAACTGCTGGGGTGGACTGGTTTGACCAAATTCGATTATATTCTACCGGAGAGATGTATAACTAGAGAATACATACCCTTCTCACCGCTTTCTTGGCACTTTGGACAATAATATTTGCGAAAATATATAAGGACGGTCAATTTGCCGTCCGCGCGAGCGCATGAATGTTAAAATAATCGGAAAAATATACGTATTAATATGTACCTATTGTTATGTAAAGGCATGATAAAGTGTGTTCACTCAAATGGATAATATACCTACTATTACCTACTATTAAAAAAGGCTGCGTTTATTAAGTCAAAGTTAACTAACATAATTTTCTCCTAAATAGTTCTCCGATCCCCTGTTTTAACAAACCCTACTTCCTAAGGCCCTTTATGTTACCATGCATTATCTTGTAGAAATGTCTGGTTTTGTTTAGGGTTTTTGAAAATGCATTTTTTTTTAGGACATGTTCTTCTTGTACATATGTAATATGTGTAATAAGGATTGTATATAAGGGTTTATTAGGATTTGTCATCGGTCGACCCAAAAGTTCCTTTGTGGGTTAGGAATTAGGATAAATAACTCGTGTTCTGTCGTGTCTATCGCGTTTGTGAGGTGTAATCACAGAATAAACAGAAGAGAATCTTAGAGCTTATCAAAAAACGGTCAGACATATTGAGTTAAGGCCAGTGATGCCAGAACTCAGATATTTCTATGATTTTAATTTTTCTGTGAATTATGGCTAAATATAAATATATTATGGCTACCTAGTAAATATAGCACATGTTATAATAGGGACATAGTAGGATAACTGTAGCAGGAAAAAAATTTAACTTCCAGCTAAATAAACTAAATTTCGATTTTTTCATGACTGGTTTGATATGTCGACTGATTTCATTTGTTGACAACGATGTATAATAAATATATTACATTATGGTATTTACTTAGTTCCTATATTATATCACGTATTTAAGGCTTATGTTGAAACACTTTTTTTACTTAGCTACCATTAACACTGAGTTAACGACGTTTTTTTGTTGGGATATCAGTAGTTTTTTTTTATATTATATAAAAATATAGTATTATCACAGAATAGACTAAATCAGAACTTAGTCTATTCTGTGGTATTATCATTAGCAAATTAAACACAAAGACAACACACCACAAGGTACAGCACAATACACAACAATCGCATGACAGTGTAGCTGTAGACATAACAATGGTGGGGATTCCCCCGAACCGATCCCTCACCGTCATACACAACGCCTGGCACCGCGCGGTCATCATAATAATATTTTGACTAAAACAAGTATCTCGAAACCTCAGAAATGTTGTACTATTTTGCTTGTAACTAAGAAAGCATTCAACCAATCAATATGTTAATTTGCTCGATCCGATCTACACAACTTTCCCAATCTACTGACATCTCATATGTTCATTTCTGTCCAGCCGTTTGCCCACAAAATCATTCCAAAATTTACACGCGTTTAATGGGATTACGGTGCTTCATGTATAATATACACGGCGGTGAGCGATCGTTTTTTTTTTTTACTTAGCTCCGCACCACTACTGTGTCGCTGGATATATATATAGATTCCTTGTGGCCGCTTTTTCATAGCTTGTTATGTAACCGCGGATATCGGCGACAGAGTACAGACCATAAGTGTATTTACGAGGAGTAACCGAAAGCGAATATGTTTACTGATATGTACTGAGAATGTTTAGATTGTTAAGGATGAACAAACATCACTAAAATAATTCTGCATCATCATAGGTACCAAACATTCCAATTTACAGCCTACTGGAAAAGCTATTTACTGATAGGACTTAGGAGCAAACATTTTATAAAACAAAGTAAACAATTTTGACATAAAAATATCTCCAAAACGGTTATCAGCAAACCGTTTGCTTTCGGTACTTCTTCGAAAATACGTTTATTACATAATATGCAATTGGAGAGAGATAGTTTGGGCAAAATGATAAGATAGAACATGCACAACTTAGCTCTCTCTCTTGCACATATTTTGGCACATATTATTTCATTGCGCAGTCCATTTAATAAAATGTCAATGATTACTACAGTCTACAATGAAATATTGATAACATAATGTACATACCCACCATGCACCGTGGCTCAGATACTGTTAGCTTCATATACACAAGCTACAAACGGGTTGCTACCACTTTTTCCAAATTGCATTAATTACCAATTTAGGTTTATGAAGAGTTTCTCATCAGTGGGCGGAATTTGTACTGATCGGGGGACAGTCGCTCCGCTAAACCAAAAATATCATAGGTTTGCAGACTACAGTCCTATACTTATCCAGTTTTATATACTTATCTTTATTCTTTGCTATAGTCTAGGTCCTAGGAGGAGGTTACAGGTTAGGTCAGGAGATTACTATGTTAAAATTATCTAATAAGAAACGGGTCATTGGGAAAAGTGCACAATGGATAAAATGGTCTTTAGTATCGTATGCAGTTTGGGAAAGGTGGTGTTAACCCGCTACAAACATTTTCAACATTGATAGGAACATAATAACGATATAATATTGCACAAACCACAATTTTGTTCATATACACATTAGGTATTGATAAATGATAGTGCGCGATCCGCTATAACATTTAGTTAATATTTTAAGTTCTGAAAAAAATAACCTAAAGTATTGGACATTATAAACCATTAACAAACATCAGAAAAAGGTAATTATAATACTCTTAGTATTACAATAAAAGCGTATTCATGTTGTCCACTACAGAAAGAGTTTAATAGAAGTTTTGTTAGAAGTCTTTACAATAAATTCAATTCGAAGTAACTCTATTATTTTAGCTGGTATTATTGCATTGATTATTTGTTTATTTACGAAAACCAATACTTCTTAAAGAGCGTTGCAAAGTACTTAAAACTTAATTATTATTTTTATTATTGAATCATTGTAGTAAACTTCATCATTAACTATATAGAAGTAATGAGTACATCACATACTTTCCCATACAATTTTGTTGGTTCCTGTCTAAACGATTTTTGTAACTTTTAAAAATATCTTATGACAAACAAACATTGTAGTCAAGGCCACTTAATTATATTTTTATCACACCATTCACATCATCAAATTTTCAAGTTATTGTATTTGAATAACCTGTGATAAACCATTGCTACCTTGGTCGCAATAAAAATAATAATTATTTTCAACAATTTGTCTTGTTTGACTTATTACTTGTAGAATTTTTTTTAGTTAGTAATTATCCAAAATGTATCTATTATCTATATAAAAGGTTGTAACATGTAAAAAATATTTAATGGTTAAACATAATAATAGTGATATAGATTTGTATATACTCTATCCCAATTAAGAAAGGCCAAAACGTATGACAAAATTCAGTTTGTCTTGCACATCCCCACGCTGAATTTTACATAGTTCTCCTTTCAAGCGCAACACGGCGGACAGCTATCGGTAACAATCGGATGTCATTGTCTTCAGTATTAATTTACAACCAATCGTGTAGAAGGGGATTGACGGGTTCGGTTTTATATTTTTTTTTATTAAAAGTCTTCAATATTAATTTTTATATTAAACACATTTGTTTAATGTTACAAAATAAAAGTAGACAAACATAATAAAAATAATAATATTTAAAATAAAACAGAAAAATATATGTTATATAGACACTCGAGCTGCGTCACCACATAGAACATTGTGGTTTAGTATATATTTAGTATGATGAGAATGAAAAAAAAAAAAGACACCTCTTAAATATCGAGTAATTTAAGGTTATATAGACTGATATTAATTATTACCTGAAAAGTGGATGTTAGGAGAAAAACTATTGTATTGATAATCGCTCTAAGTTTGTCCAGAATCTTTGAGAAAGGATTGGGAGAGATTTTGTTTGACCTGTACTGTAAGTGTTTGACATTAAGGTCCTTTTAGTAATTTTAAGTAAAACTTAGTACGTTGAAAGAAAGTACTTAAAGTTTTTATTTGGCGGTAATTGACATTGCCTATGACAGATGCATATGAACGGGTTCTTGAAGCTGAATAAGACTGATTTTGCCTATATGCGGCAGGGAGTAGGGTTATCAATTAAGTGGAGAGTTCAATGTTTGTTTTAGGCTTCTTCCAATTATATTCCTCATTGATTTTGGATTTTCTTATAACTACGAAGTTTTGATAGATTTTATATCCTTTGTAGTTTGCAGTATGATCTTCGTTGCAGGGGACCCATTTAACTGGTGAGTTTCATGATTTTTGACATTCTGCTGAGGAGTGGGTGATGAGAATAAAAATTGTTTGTATGAAAGTAGGCTTGGTAACTCAAACAATGGAATTCTTTTCACTTGTACTTAAAAAAGATAAAATATCAAATATCTATGTGTTGTTGTCAGTTAATTCTAAATCAATTCTCCAAGAGAAAAGGGTTGTTTTGTTTTATAATATTAGTAATATGTATAGCTCTATGGCTGAGTTGCTTTAAAGCCTTAAACATTTATTTTACAAGAGTCAAGTGATGCAAATGTCTTATAATTATGTTAAAATGTTTTGATGCTTTTGGCGAATATGTATGAAAATTATATTTCTATTCATAAAAAATTATAAAAGGATACTATAATCCTCCAAATTCCCTGCTGTTGTTTTCCTACTATATTCCTATTATAACATCATCATCATCATCATCAAGCTTAACGGGCCTTTAAGGCTGCCATCATCAGACAATGGTTTCAATCTGTCGCCGGAGAGTGGGATATTTACTATATCGTAAAGTAGGAAAACAAACTGACTTCCGGCCAAGTTAACTAAATTTACATTTTTTCATGACTGGTATAATATGTAGACAGATTTTTATTTGTTGGTAACGATTTATAATACATAATATATTACATTATGGTATTTACTTAGCTTCTATATTATATCACGTATTTTAAGGCTTATGTTGAAACAATATGTATCGTTTATTTATTTAATGTATTGAAATAATCATTTTTGGTTCTAGGTGTAATGAATTTCCACTGATTTTGGCTGGAATAATTATATTATGGCTGATACAAAGAGATCTAATTTATCTGCCTTAAATGGCTTGTCATTAAATGCAGCTTTGAAGTCTAATCCAGCTAAGAAACTGGTAGTAAAAAATCTGAAGGAAAAGCCTATGCTACCAGACAACTATCAAGAACAAACATGGAAAAAGTTACGTGAATCAATAATTGCCATTCAAACTTCAACAGCTATTCGTTATAGTATGGAAGAATTATACCAGGCTGTTGAAAATATGTGTAACAATAATTTGGCAGCAGCATTATACAACAATCTTGTTGAGCTTAGTGAAGCTCATGTAAAAAAGCTGTTGCAAAACTTCAATGAAACAACAAGTGACAAAATAATATTTTTGAAAAAGGTAAATCGTCATTGGGTGTCTCACTGCGAACAAATGCTGATGATACGTAGCATATTTTTATATTTAGACCGAACTTATGTTCTGCAAAATCCCAATGTCAACTCCATTTGGGATATGGGCTTAAATTTATTTCGTCATCATATAATGTTAAATACAAATGTACAAAATCGAACTGTTGATGGTTTGCTATTACTTATAGAAAAGGAACGCCAAGGAGATATGGTAGACAAAACTTTACTTAAATCTTTACTTCGTATGCTTTCAGATTTAAAAATTTATCAAGATGCTTTTGAAGGCAAATTTCTTCAAGCTACTGAGCGTTTATATGCCACTGAAGGCTTACGATTGATGCTTGAACTGGAGGTTTCTGAGTATTTGTATCATGTGGAGAAGCGATTGAACGAAGAAAATGAAAGACTCTTACATTACCTAGATATGTCAACAAAGTGGTCTTTAATACACACTGTAGAAAAACAACTAATTAGTGAACATGTGAGCACAATATTGCAAAAAGGATTGGAACAGTTGCTTAATGAAAATAAATTGGATGTGTTAAAGTTAATGTATGCACTATTGACTCGTGTTAAAAAAGGTCTTACAGAACTCTGCTTAAATTTCAATGCGTACATTAAGAAACACGGACGAACTATTGTTATCGATCCTGAAAAAGATAAAACAATGGTTCAAGAGTTATTAGATTTCAAAGATAAAATGGATGTAATAGTGAAAAACTGTTTTCAAGCCAATGAAAAGTTTGGTAATAGCCTAAAAGAAGCGTTTGAAAATTTTGTTAACCAGCGGACTAATAAACCTGCTGAGCTCATCGCCAAGTTTGTTGATTCAAAGTTAAAGGTTGGAAATAAGGAAGCAACTGAAGAAGAACTAGAGAAACTTTTAGATAAAATTATGGTTTTGTTTCGGTTTATACATGGCAAAGATGTTTTTGAAGCGTTTTATAAAAAAGATTTGGCTAAACGATTACTTCTTGGAAAATCTGCTAGTGTAGATGCTGAAAAAAGTATGTTATCAAAATTAAAACAAGAATGTGGTGGTGGTTTTACATCTAAACTAGAAGGTATGTTTAAAGATATGGAATTGAGTAAAGATATCAACATAGCTTATAAACAATATTTGGCAAACATCAAAGATATTAAATTGTCTGGCATTGATATGACGGTTAATATACTTACCATGGGTCATTGGCCAACATATTCTGTTACGGAAGTTTCTATGCCTAATGAAATAGTTCAATATCAAGACTGCTTTAACAAATTTTATTTATCTAAGCATAATGGTAGAAAATTACAGTGGCAACCAACATTAGGTCATTGTCTTCTACGCTCTTATTACAAGCAGGGTAACAAAGAATTACAAGTTAGCTTATTCCAAGCGATGGTGTTGTTGCTGTTTAATGAGTGTCAAACTCTTCATTTAAAGGAAATAAAAACGATGACAAACATGGAAGATTCAGAATTAAAGCGCACATTGCAATCATTAGCTTGTGGAAAAGCAAGAGTTTTGTTTAAAATACCTAAAGGACGGGATGTAGGTGATGCGGATCAGTTTTCTGTTAATGATGATTTTACAAATAAATTGTATAGAATTAAAATTAATCAAGTACAGATGAAGGAAACAAATGAAGAGCAGAAAGCTACTGAAGAGAGAGTGTACCAAGATCGACAATACCAAATGGATGCAGCTATTGTCAGAATTATGAAAATGAGAAAATCTTTAATGCACAATTTATTAATAAGTGAATTGTTCAACCAGTTGAAGTTCCCAGCTAAACCTGCAGATTTAAAGAAACGCATAGAAAGTTTAATTGACCGTGATTACATGGAAAGGGATAAAGATAACCCAAATCAGTATAATTATATTGCATAAATATTTTATTATTATTTTATTTACATATAATTATAATTAAACACAATGTTGGTATGTTTGATGTATATTTTAAGAGTTGATTTGTGTAAATATTAATTGTTCATAGACAAAATATATGGAAAACGTAAAAATGGTTTTCAATACCTCAATATTTTCGTAAAATATATTATATAATGTGAATCGCTATTTAATAACGGTTTTGGTTAAAAGACCATATAGGTAGTACTTATTAAAAAAAACATATTATAGTACTTAATAGCTTGTCAATATTTGTTGTAAATATAGTAGACATTTTAACTATTGAAAAATTACATGTTTTTAATGTACTAATATATATTTTTAAATATTTATTGTTTTGTATGTAATAGCTTCATATTTGCAAACTACAAATATTTACCGCGTACAAGTAATAACTCAAAAATCAAGAGTAACCAAAGAAATTTATAAAAATGTATAACCCCTACAGCTACTACCAAGTTGTATGGATTGATTATACTTATATACATATATTAAAATTATAAATATTCATATTGTACAAATTAAAATATATTATGTTGCAAAAACAGTTAAAATTTTAAGAAGCTGGTAATATATAACACTTTAAAGCAACTTTTTATGTACCCATTAGATTTTATAAACAAATATTAATTACTAGAATTACGCTTTATAAATATACATTACCTTTTTAATATTGAGTGTTACGTTACAACACGGGTGGTATTGAGGGTATATTATATTTATCCTAATAGGTTTATTTTCATATATGATAGAATAAATATTATATATGATAGCTACTAATGCATAGAATGTATTGCATACTTTTTTTAACAGGCAGATTTCTCACGTATATTTCTTAACTGAAGACTAGAACATCATGCCATTTCCATAAATTATATAGATACCTACTTTGTTTTTAATCATCCTACCCGTTTTCGAGATTCTATAGTGTTGTTACACATTTTGACAAAAACTAGACTGGAAACATTTCCATTTTTAAAAGTTCTATTTGAATTCTATTTAGAAACTCACTATCTACCCAAACATTCGAATTTTTATTTCTATGCTCCTAACTATATAGTACTTCTTTTTTGTTAATACTTTTATTCATACCTACGTCATACAAGCAGCATGCTAGATATTTTATCTCAAGGTTTTTTATGCCTTGTTTAATACTTATTAGTTATTATTTAATTATTTAAGACTGTGTCCTGTGATCAGAGTATAACTCTATGGATCAGTCATATGATTGTGTTATCAGTTGCTACCAAGTCCATGTTACAAACATAATTTAAGTGTATGTTAAAACAGATTACTGTGATAACACAGAATTGACTATTCTGTGATAATAGTATAATATTTAATAAAGTAATTTCATAAATTAACTATAATATTAGGTATGCAGTTTTTGAGTCAGTTGCTTAAGGTGATATTTGTCAAAAATTTCATATTATTTCATTAATTAATATTCATTTTAATTTTTGTAGATTTCAGATTTGCATCAATGTCATAGGGATAATCGTCACCATAGGTGATATTCCAACATTTTGTTAATGTTATTATCATTCGATTCATCTAAGCTAAAATACCATTCTGTATTTGCTAGAGTTGCAATAGAAAATTTGAAGTAAGTTACTACCTAAACCTAATCTTACAATTTTTTTTATAGTTTCTCGGTACATATGTGTTTTACAAAAAAATCCTGTAGAGTTATTTGTATAAATATTTAATAGGTAATTACTTCTGTTGGAGGCACGTTGGGTATAATTTCTTATAATATTAACAAGAATTCTAAGAAGAATTAAATTTTATTAAATTAAATAAAGGAACATTGATCTAGCCAGTATGTTGAGCTGCAACTATATTATTTCAAACTTTTTGTAGGTATGATATACATTTTGCATAATGTATTCTTATGTTATTATTTTCCATTCTTATTTTATTCCCACCTACCTTACGATCACTTAGGATGATTTTGATGTTTACACGGTTCATTTTTATTGAATTCACCTCAAAATAATCATCCTGAAAAAACTGCATTAACGCGCCTATAGCTAAATATAAGGCTAAGTAGTGGTTAGAAGGCACATCATATTGCTGTTGAGATGTTATTTCTAACCAAGTATGATTTCTGTATTAAAACTTGGCTTTTCCTTGAGTATAAGCTGATACTGGAACTATTTATTTCATGACAGTACCTATTAATTGAATATTACATTTTTTTCTTTAGGTCAATTGAATTTTTTTATTTTAAACATTTTTTCAACAGAAAAATTTAGCATAACAAAAGTTTTACCTTTGATGCGTTAGCTGAGAAGGTACTAGTTTTACAATGATGTGTTTTTTTTTGTGTCTGAAATCACATTAACTTTTTCCTGTGGACTGATTTTCTCGAGTAGCAACTCTATCGATTCATAATTGTATTCGATCGGTACTTTGGTAGATCAGAAGTAGAAATGTTTACTCTTTCCCCTTCAAAATTCAGAATAATGCCCAAAAACTCTACATATAATGAATACGTTAAAAAAAGACGTTAAAATAACGTCACGCTATAACTTTTCTAGAAATAGTCAAATTAGTTCCAAATTTACAACCGGTTTTATAGTTTTGGTCTTTGTATAGAAATAGTTTATTCATTTGGTACACTTATACATTAAGTAGTGTTCAAATGCCTTATTAGTAATTAGCTTTGTTAAAAAGTAAAGATAAATATTATTCAACACATTATACAATAAACTTATTTTTTTCAATTTTACGTAAATCCCTTGGTTTTTATGGTTCTTGTAATTAATGAAATTTTAGAGAAAGTATAAATGGTCGGCACCTGCACAATCCAGTTTGTTTACATTGATAAATTGCGCCTCTTAGCTCTAGCAAGAGCAAAAGACAGTTGTATCTATATAATTTAATAAAATTATTTATAACAGCTGTAGATTGATGGTTTTTCACCAACGCTTATATTCCATAGTACCTCTCCATATACAAAAAAAACTAGAGAATAATAAATAAAACTGGAATCCGTCTTTAAACATATATGGAATTTTCAAGTGTACGATAATAATGAAATTTCTTAAATATGTAATCTTAAAAATAATCTATACGATTAAAATGAAAGGTAAAAACAAAACAAAATGGTGAAAATTTGAGATCACATTGCATAATAACACTATGTTAAGAAATAATTTAATTTCTTATTAAACCCAGTGAGATATTGAGTGGTTCACGATAAGTTGATCATGTAGTAGACCTGTCGCCTCCCCACCCCAATATACTACATCTTCACTGTACTGGCTTTTTACATTTATTAAATTATATAATAGGTACATACATAGACAGTATGTATATCAGAATTAATAATTGGACTTAAAAACTTCAATTAGAAATATTTTTGTATCAATTTATATATCTCTATTTTTGATTATTAAAACATTTTATGATTAATTGGGATTAAAAAGAAGTGATTTTAATAAATAGGACATTTATGGCCATTTGTACCAATTATACTTAGAAGTTTCAATATACACATAGTTTCAGTATTGTAAAAATAAGCTGTAGTTGGAGGTAACAGACAGCATTCGAAAATCACTATTAAACAATTTATTTTAAAATACCTAGTTGTCGGTAAATAGGAGTAATGATTGTGTTTTATTTAAATATTTGCTGATAGAGATAGAAAATATTCTTTTACATGATTGCAGTAACTTAAAACTGCAAAAATGTATAAAAATATTATATTACATTTTTATTGAATTGAATATAATCTTATTTAAATCCCACTAGGAAAATATATAGCTAAGTGTTTTATATATTTGACTGTAATTGATGATAATTTTTGTTTAATTGTTTTAGATATAAGCTGAAATGATACGATGAGCTTTGTGTAATCTCAAGTACACTTTATTTGAAGAAAACATTTTTAACATAAAATTTCCGTTTTCCGAAGTAAGGTTCTTTTCGTTGTTTGTCAATAGTATTAACTTCACAACAGAAGAGTCTGACTTTGGGTGACTGTAATTTTTTTTAAAATATACCAGTATTCCATTGTTTTTAAATGTATTGTTTTTTATTTGTATTTTAGTATTGTTAAGTTTGTATAAAATAAAATTAATTTAAACATATTTTCCCTGCTATAAAAATAATATCAACACTATTGAATCGCTATTTGGTTTCAACAAACAGCAAGAACATTAGAATAATTAAAAAATAAAATAAATATCACCTAATGATTTATTAAAACCATATTTCAAAAACTATAAAATTAATGTTTTTATTTAATTTTATGTGCAACAAATAATTAAATAATTAGTGGTATGTTTTGTTTTGTTGGTAAATACTTTCCAGTTTAAAGTCATCTTTTATTTTTAATATTTTACTTAATAATTTCGAAAATAAAATAACCAAATTGTTTAAAATGTTTTGCATTTTAGCAATTTTCTCTTAAATGTTAATTTGTGGATAGAAATATTTTAATTTTCTGTATTATTACCTTATCTAATTTCGCATCAAACTCACAGCAATAACATTTTTAGGTTTTTGGCTGCATTTTCAACTTGTGTATTTTAGCATTTGTATTTTAAAATACTCATGTTTCTTGCAAATTATAAGTTTATTGAAAAAGTGATTATAAAAAAGTTTAAAATAAAAATGTTTATGAGTTCACTTATATTATTATTATTAACATAGGCAATAACTGTAACTTGTTTTTACATTTATTATGTACTGACAGTAGCTAGTACTGACAGGGGGGCTACGGTATCTGGACACCTCTCTGGGCCATGGATAAAAAAAAATGTATTACACACGACAAATTTGTATTAAATGTATAACAAATTAATACATTTTTTCTTATAATTAGATATTAGGTATTACTGTATTAGCAAAAACCGTTATCGTAGAGACCGACGATGTACTGCAAGAACTAAATTTAAAAAATTACTTCTTGATCTTATTTTTACTTTATTTAGTTTTGTTGTATAAAAACACCCTCCAAAAATGTTGCTCAAAATACCCCACTGTGTACTGACATTCGATATAATGAAACTTCATCATATAAACGCTCAATATAATCGTCATAAATTTTACAAAAAATGTATGTATCATTTTTCAACTCCTAAAGTGTACAGGTTGATTTTAAAATGATAGGTACCAACATTTATTTAGCTATAAAAACAAAGTGGACAATATAAAAATATTTCTGATAACAAATAAATTAACAAATGTAATTTGTATGTTAATCAGGTAAACGTTCTGGAAACTAATGAATGGGCAACGGTATTAGTTGTACGACGTTCTCGGAATAAATTAATTTTTAACGTTATTCGTTATAACGTTTTAGGAATAAATAGAGGAAGAAAGTTATTCCTATAGTTTACGTTCATGAATATAATTTTGAACTGAACAAATAAATAACGGTTAACGGAACCCTAATAAATAATACCTTATATATTTACATACAGCACAATTATTATTTTATTAACTTTTATTATAAAAATTATTTATGATTTAAAAGTTCAAGCCTTAAACACACCAATTATCAATAATTTCTTTTTAAGTTTGACGCTAACTTTCTGATGACAAAATCAAATGACAATTACTTGAAGTATAAAATAATGTTTAACTAAAATGAAAATCTTTGGTTCTTTTTGAAAACAACATTACGTTGATATATATATATATTTTATAGTATAATTTATATTTGGCTTAAAAAAATATTGCTTAAATGTTATACAATCGAAAATAAACACTAAATTACAGTACACAAAATCAGTTGCTTTTAAAATTCAACCCATATTCTATTAAATATAAAATAAACGATTCTAAATAAATGGCTCTTGTGTCGAGAATGATGAGGGTTGGAAGAAACATACAATTCATCAGAAGTTCAATGATCAGATTTGCTAGTGGAAACGGCAATGGCGCCGACGGAGAGGAATGCCCAGGTATGAATGACCTTCCGTGCTTAAAGCGAGACCCAACATTAAACAAGTTGCCGGAAAACAATGACACACAGCAGTGCAAAAAAATTTGTATGCCGTGCTGTCTGCCAGCAAAGGATCCGCCGTCATGTATAAAAAAATTGGGAAGAAAAAAGTGTACGCCTATTCAGGACCCGTATCCCAGTTTTTCACAATGCATGAAATCGCCACCTCCCAGCATCGATTGCGAGTGCCGACCAGTAAAGCCACCACCGTGTGACATCGGCAACTCGAAAGATGACAAAAATTCAAAAACCAAAAGATGTTAATTACGGTTTTTTTAAAAACAAAATTTTTACTTTATTTTATTTTCTATATATTATTTACTATTTCACTCTAAAATATGTTTAGAATGGAGTTCTTCATGGCGCGCCCTTCTGGATTACATATTCTCTGTACTGGCTAGGGGAGTGAATGTAGTAGGATAAACGACACTTTTTTCTAACTCTTTTTACGTTTGTACTAATCAAACAACAAACATAGTTGAACATAACCATACTCTGAAAACGATTTTTATCTATTAATACATTTGAAAGCTTTTAGTTAAAAACAACATTGAGTTAGTTAACAAGTTAACTAATTACGAAATCCAACCGAACATATGATGATCCAATTGTGAAATTTCAATTCTGTAAAATTTCTTTGGGTACTTTACTATGTTATGTGGAAAGCAGATTTGTATTTAAAAATTTCAGTTTCTTGTGATTAAATTAATTAAATTTGCAGTTTTTTATTATAAAACCCAATTTGTTTACATCAAAAATCAAAAACCTGTTTCCTACATACCTAACCTAGTAGATTTAAAAGAACTTGTATATCTTTACAGAATTGAAATTGGACTATCTTAAGTAGTCAACATTTTGTCAAGCTTTTTGGTCTAAAACATCAAAAAACCAACCGCATGCAATTCCCTTAAGAGTTTTTTTATTATATTATTATTTTATTTTTTTACTATAATATATAACCACATATCGTCAGCCTAGTTAGCAATGAGCGTAACTCCAAAATACTAAATTTCACACTAAAAGGAAAAAAACCTATAATTTATTCTATTTATTTCAATAACGATTGCTTACTGTTTGAAAAAAAAAACACTAAAATATAATCATTATTATACCAGCTGACGCACAGTTTTTTTTTCATTCAAATAGTGTAATATACCAAAAATTTATTTTTTTGGAGATACGTCCTTTGCTAAATAGGCAGACGATATGTTGCTAAAGTTTTTTCTTAACTTGTAGAACGTAGTTAAATTTATCATAACAAATTCAAAGTAAAAGTTTAGTAGTGATACAGGTACAGGGGATTTAGTGCAAAGTGGTTGGGAGCAAATTGTTTAAATTAACGCAACACGGGCAGTATTTGTAGGCGGTTGGTGGTGATTTAATATAATTATAAATAGGTATATTGCAATTTAAAATATATTTAATTACAGATCCGACTCGAGGGCGATGCTAATAAAAAATACACGATCATTTTACACTTTAGAATTATTATCCTTGCGATGTTCCACAAACGAAAGGGACGTAACAGAGGCGTAAGTCATGAGAGCGTGCGCCGCGTGCTTGATGGCTAAGTATTTGCGGACTTCATCCACCCACTGCTGGGAAACATTGCGAGATAATCCTCTGATGCGTTCCACATAAGGAACAGCTTTGGACATATCGTTTCTGTCCACCCAGTATTTTGCGTGTTTCAGCAAATTGTATGTACCCGCGTCGACCGGCACGTCTTGTCCGTCCGTTTCGCCATTGAGCACCACAAACTTGCTGATTAGGTAGCTTAGGCCAAGTCGCAGTAGCGACACCTTGTCCTCTGGCACTTGGGCAACGTGAGCTGCCACCGCCGACAACTTATCAAACCGGTCTTTCAGCTCCACCGAAGTACTTACACCCCACTTCATGGCGTCCTCTGGTATCCAGTTTATGATGGCCTCTACTGTCTCATCGCCCTCAGCCGCCTTTTTGATAGCGGATATCTCGTCATCCACGTGTACGACTGAATGGCCGGTTAAAGTAGACGCAGGTTTGTCAATGGCGTTCAACATCGACTGACCTGCCGCCCACAATGGTTGTGACGCAAACATCTTCTTCTGATCTTCCGCTTGAACTATGTAATTAATACAAGATGAGAATACATTTAATTATCTATATCGAGCCTAATACATAGCAGACAATCAGGCGGCAGATACGCCAATTATATCCCTTGAACGCAGAGAAAAAAAGTAACCCAACCCTCTAATTTTGAAAACATGATATGTTCAAATCTTGAAAATATACTTGTAACGGCATAATTACATTATTACTTTTCGTTTTGCCTAATCAAATTTAGTAAAGATGCATTGAATAAACTAAATTTTACCTTTTAATGTTTGCATCACTTGTCGGAACCTATCTTCCATTTTTTTTAGTTCGGTATTCATTTTATGGTTTTCCATAGTTTCTAGAGCAGTAAGTTCTTCGCTTATTTTACTAGAAGCCGTCATTTGTGCATTTTCTACTATTTCGCGTAATTGAACATCGTGCAAAGCTTCTTGAGCTCTTAATTGTTCTTCAACACGAGCATTGCATCCTTCATATATTGCCTTAATCTAAGTCATTTAAAATATTAGATTAGGTTCAAATAACCATAAGTCGTAATTAAATAATTAAATATTTGCTTGCCTTTTGATTGTAATCAGATTGCAGCTTAGCTGACTCTTCTTTATATTTTTCATTTGTCAACCTCTTTATTTTGTCTTTGTTGTCTGATACGACTTTATTAATTCTTTCAGATGCAGAACACTAGAATTATAAGAATATCGTGAAAAAAAAGTAAAAACCTTAAAATTTAATTATAAACAACCTATTTCGATAATTAAAAGTTTAAAATTATTCACCTATCAATGTTTATTATAAAAATTATTAGTTACAAATGTTTGTTTAGTATTTATTGTAACAAATTTATTTCATTACTCACGTTCAATCGCTCAATGTTTTTGCGGATGTTCTGTAACGCTTCAAATGAGTACAGTAAAAAAAGATCGAAATCGGCATTCGTGAGCTTCAAATTATCTTTTGATAGCGTAGCATGCGGGAAAATGCTTTCAAATTCTTCCTGGTAATGAAATATAATCAGTTATATACAATTTTCTTTAAAATTAATTTTCAAAACACTATTTTTCTTCTCCTAAGCATATATTCCAACTATTTGGAGGTAAACCTTTGTCCTAAACCTCCACTTGATACGATCTTCCACATTATCTTTGCATACACCATTAGTCTTCATATCATTCTCAATCGCACCCAACTACCTTCCCCCCCTTTTTAACATTTTTGCTGTTTTCGATTCTTCTATCATTATAATATTCTCAAATAATCTCAGTCTATTTTCTTATAGTTTGTCTGCTATCAAAGCCACGTCATGCTAACTCTAACGTATTTGGTAATTTTCCTTATCCCATCTTCTCTCGTCACTACCTTCATCCACCTAAGCATCCTCATCTTCGCTACACTCATTCTCTGTTCTATCTTTCTATCTACGCGCAATACTTCGGAACCATACAACATAGTAAGGTCTCATCATACTCTTGTAGAACTTTTTGGAATTTTCTCATTCTTTTAAATCAAACACCTGACATTTTTCTCCACTTGATTCAACCTCTTAACCTCTCAACCTCACTCATTACGTCTACGCTTATTGTAATTACTCATCTTGTCCCATACCTCATGTTCTCATCCTCTTAACTCATAATCTTTATATTCTGTTTACTTCTCCTAATCTTTATTCCTTTTCTTTCGAGTTCTATTCTTCACTCTTCAAGCCTATTGTTAACTTCTTCCATCCCGTATTTCTTTAGTAACTTCATCCAAAATAACAGATACAATTAAGGACTCAAAGCGAAACCTTAGTACATACCAACTATAAAAATCTCTAGTCACGATGTTTGTCACCGATGAACTCCGATATATATATATATATATATAAAGAGGTATCTCTACTAGGGTTTTACTCTACACGCATCCCAATTTTCTTAGGAGGCATAACAAACAAGTAATTTACAATAATCACGTACCATTGTTTGGTTCCATCTAGATTGTACTTTATTTCGATAGTTTTCATAAACTGCAAGGTTTTTTAGCTCATCTTCCAACTTTGCTTTGGCCTGACGGATAGTTTCTAATGCGGCCCTAAGTGTTTCCTTAGCGGTGTTACGTTCTTCGGGAGTACATTTTAGGTCTTGGCTGCTAAGAGCTGTTTGTCTCTGACCTAGAGCTTTCATTTTATTCATGATTTGTTCTTGAATTTCAACATATTTTTTATTTTTTTCCTTTTCCAAGTCTTTTAATATACCCCATACATTATTGTCCAGATTAGTAATTGCATTTCTTATGTTCTCGTAGGAGTTATTACTGTACTCTGTAAAATAGGTGCATGTATTAAATTATCTATAACGTAATTTAGATCAACAACAATGTTTAAAAAATTAATTCAAAACTTTCATAATATATTTAAAAAGTAATACATACGTGGAAAAAAGTAAAAAAAAATCTAATTTTTGTATGAAAAAAACTGTTTTTGTAGGTTGCTTTAAATGATCGAGGGTATTAGGTAATACTGTGGTTGCTATATTAACCAAATAAACACTAGGGTATACTACATTAATAGGTATAAAATGACCAACCGTCGCGTAACTAAAACCAAATCATTAAATCACCTTTGATTATGAGAGAAGCCTCTTCATAGTTAGTTTTTATCTGTTCAGCGAATAAGTTTATATCTGCACCAACTTGTTCACATGTTTTTTCGTCGTCATTATTTTTTTCCACTAAAAAGAAAAAAATGACAACTATACGATTTCGGTGTTTGTATGTAATGTTTAGTAAATTTTAAATAATGTATACATACAAGTAGTATATAATTAAATGTTTATGAGCGTGATATGATGACACGTATACGGTCGCTGGTTTTACTCTTAGTCTCTGGCAAGGCTAGGCAAGTTAATTATTTTTTTTATCTTGTTAATGAAATTGTTTTAACGGAGCTAATAGTAAAATGTTAATAAAGGATTGTAGTACATTATTTATGTTACAAGTTAAGTAAATAAAAAAGTATTAACTGAAGTAAATATGTATTTTATTTCTTCAAATCCTTATTTTGGATAACCTTTTGGAGCTAATGGCTATGGAGTTAGGTCGGCAGCCAGCTAATAGGTCTATCTGACTTATGTCGTATGTCTATTGTTAGCAAGTCAATAAAGAATGAAATAAGTTAAGTTAAAAAGTTAACATGCCATTTTTCAGATCACGGTGTTACTCCCAGTTTATACTTTAAGAACTTTTAAGTAGGTACGCCAATTATTCAATCAATAAAAATAATTTTGCGATGTAAACGATTGTAAAAGATTGTACAACACACCTGAAGGCTGGTCTGCTATATTATTCACAACCTTTTCTTCGTTTCCATTACCGTTTTCAGCGCATTTGTCCGCATCTAATAAAATATATAACATCGTTTTTTTTAAATTCATAAACCTGTTACAGTCCTTACATTTTTTTGTTTTTATCACCTGGATGTTCATTACCACATACGGTTGTGTCACATTCATTACGAACCTTATCTTTGCCAAAAGTACGATCTAATATCCTAAAATATAAAAATAGTTTTAGTTAATTTTTTTTTTTATAAAAAAAATCAATAAATGCAATATACATTTCTAAGTAGATATCAAATTCATTTTTTAGAGTATTTTATAATTTTATTAAAGTACAATATATAAGGTTTGCAAATTATTAACAATTTAAAAATTTACAGTATTTTAAAAATTTTAACAAAATATTCTTTGAGCCTTTTTTACTTTTAAAACATTTTCAGTTTAATAAATATTATGAATATAAATGAATTATAAATACTAAATTCAGTTGCGTGAATTTACTTTAAATATTATTATTTTTGACATTTAAAATGTTTTTAAGTACTAAATTTAAATACAAATTGTATGTATGTGATAAATAATTGTTTATAAATATGTTATTATAAACACAACACTGAAAGACAAATCCTAACTAGTATAATATTTATTGTAAAAAATGTTTAACTTGCGTAAATACGTAATGAACTTTTTTACTATAAAAAAATAGTAGGGATTGTTACTTTGAGAATATGACTATCAAAACTCCAATCCTTATTTTTGATCTTAAGATAATAATAATATGGCAATTTTAATACTTCTATGTGTATTGTATACCATTCTTTAGCACAATACATGCTATCCACTATAGAATCCAAATAAGGTTTTTCTTCTTGAAACACGAACTTCACATAATTGTCTATAAAAGGCGCGTAACATTTTAGGGTTTTTCTAAACTTTGGATCGAATTTAGCATAAACTGGCACCAATGTCATTGTAGTTACAGATGCACCCAGAATATAAAGTAAAATATGTGAATCCCTACACAAATGATTTAAATAAATAACAACTCAATATGAAAGACGTGTTAACTCACTTCGCCTTCACTTGTTTTTTGCATTTTTCTGGATATCCTTCATAATGAACGAACCGCCGGTCATATTTTTCGGAATTCAATAGTTTTTTAATACTATTTGGACGGCGAAATGTTGTTCTAGATAACTAAATTTTAGAGTTATTCTCATAACTAGTTCACCTTTTCTTCAAATAGTGAACGAAAATAATAACTTACTTGTGAGCGTATAATATTCATTTTCAATAACCCAAACCAGTTATTTTTTCCACCTAATTTTTAATATTTTATTTGTGCAGCAAAAAATTTAGCAGTAAAATTAAAGAATAACAGCATGTATAGTTAATGTAGGTAGGGTATGTTGTAGCCAGAAATATAAAAATGATTGTCCATTATTCAAACAAATTATAATATCTTATAATACTTTCTTATATTAATTTAATTGCTAACAAATTAAAAATTAGAGTTGAGTATAAAACAAGACAATTGCTTATCAACATACATAAATGTCGGGACCTACATCAGCTAGGTATGCAATGAAGATTAAACAAATATCGTGACAATGTACCTATTTAAATGTGTGATCAGTTAATAATATTTTAACTAAAAACGATCAAGTGAGGATAGCAGTTTTCTAAGTATCTACCCCGTCCATTGTTTTTATATTCACGTTGGTTTGTAGAAAACATAAATGTAATTGTTTATTAAAACCAAACCTTATTATAATTTAATATGTCTTAAAGGTCAATGAATGGACGGGAGAAAGTTGTACACTACACAATATCATGTTATAATATTTTTTATCTCATTGACGATATAAACTATACTTATACTACTTAGAAGTCACTAAAAATGCAAAGTTAGGTTATTAACAGTTATCGACTTAAGACAAACTTTATGGAATGATTTAATAAATTTAGAACTATTTCTTTTATTTTTTTATACATGTATAAATATATATGTATGTGTAGGTTTAGATCAGTTTCAAAACTAAGTAGGTATTATAATAACATCCTTGAATGAATCGTACAAGTATTATTAAATATCAAATGTTTAGCGTATAACACGTAAATAGTACATAAGAAAAAATCAACAATTTTTTATGTTTAAACTATTATTAATATCCTGGAAACGGTTTATATGAGTACATAAAATGAATTAAAATCACAGTTTTAAGCATCGATGATTACAGTTCATTACTAATTATACACTTAATTGTTCGTGCAATTATTTATAGTAAGTTATGGTTGAAGATTTTGCGGAAAAAATTATTTCATTAACCGAAGACGATTATAGAGACAAAATTCATCGAGTAAGGAGCCCACAAACAATAGAAAATTATTTAAGCCACTTGATAAATGTAAATTTGCTGTGTAATTAGATTAAGTTCAATCTATTGTTCAACGTTTGCAAAGGAAGGGTGGATGTACTTTTGGCAAAGAAAAAATTTTGGTCTAGTTTAGCAAAGCCTAGAACGACAAATGGAAACACGTCACACGTATGTCATTGCTAGAAATTCAACTTTCACAAAAACTAAGTGAACGGTTTTTATTTAGGTTACAAATCATGAAAAATGTACATTTGCTTCACAATCGACAATGGTGCAGAGAACAAAGGGTTCAACAACACGCAAATCGTTCGGGTTAGTTGATAATTATGTTTTACTTTTAGGCTCAGATCATTTACAATCAGAGAAGGGCATTTTTTATTCGAATAATGAATAGTAACTAATTTAATCGAATAATCTCTTTATTCGATACTATTGCAAATAGTAAGTAATCTATTTAAGATATAAATTATTTTCGAATAAAAAAAACGATTTTGCGGTCATTCGAATGCAAATATTATTCGACGGTATTCAAATAAAAAAACTATTTAACTAGTTATTTAGATAAAAATTATGAACTCTGTTTGAAATGTACAGAATTTGGGAAGCTGACTTCATAACAAGCAGGTGCGGGTGAGGGTTGTATAATGTAGTAGGATACAAGTACAGAATAGATTGAAGCTGAAGGGTTACTTCCAATGTTATCAAAAACGTACAGCTATTTTGTCATTTGTCATAATAAATTATATCTATACACAACTAACAATAATAATGATGTATTGATATAACATTATACTGATTTACAAATGAGAAGTTGACCGCTGTGTTTTTGTGTGTTAAGTATTATTAAGGTCTATTTCCACATATCCGTGACGGGTCCGGACCATCCGGAACCGATCCGTAAGTTAACGGAAGCTCTTATACTATTTATTAAATACTTTATAGAGAGAATGCGTAAACCCGTCCGGGAACTACGAGAGAGAATTGTCTAGATTCTAGAACAATATCTTTTCGACCCGGACCCGGCACGGATATATGGAAATAGTCCTATAAGCGGATATGACAGGCAACATTACTCTATTTGCTACTGTTTGTCATTGCAATAAATTATTGAAGATATTATATGTGGCAACGATGAATACTGATTTCATTTTATTTTTATACAGAAACAATAACTCGGCGCGGCAATATTTAATCAACCACGATAGATTAAGAGAACTGTCACAACCGAAGTTTAGTTATCAATACACGTAAATATAATAGTATATGTATTTGTTTTTGATCACAAAAACAATCGAGTACTGTTTTCAGAGAACGTGTTTATGCAAGGAAAAGGTTTAGCGGACCTAAACAGTTTGAAAGTCATTTGGATAGATTAAACGAGTTGGCTGCCCCTCGTAAGACGTCAGTGACTTCTTGTAGTACTGTAAGTGTCCAAATAGGAAATTAAACTTAATTCGTTTTTTTGGTCTTTTAATGGTCTTTAATTATGAACCCATCTTACTTAGTACAAAGGATAGATACGATATTGAATAAAACAAAAAGTTTTGGTTTTTATAATTTATAACGGCAATTGTACGCATATTGACCGTTAGATTTAAAATAAAATATGTATTTTTATTGTGATAGAAAAGGAATTGTGACATCGTATATTAATTTGATAGAGGATATGTATGAAATACGAGTGTCAAAAGTATCTGTGGAGTAATAGAAGATTTTAGGGTTAGCGTAGGTATGCACTAGGGTTCTACTTTGAGCTTAAAAAAACCAATACGAACATATTGCGGAATGTTCTACCTAGCTAGTGTATGTGAATATTAAAATGAGAGATACGTAATTCTAACTTATTTAGAGCTTGTAAAGTAGATCTGAGAGCATCTATACAAGTACGGAGCTACATATCTTGAAGAGAAAAGACCGTTCAAATAGTTCTTAGTAAGTTCATACTACTTATTACTTAATCATTATTACAATTTACAGTGTTGTTATTACAAAGTGCCTTTGAGTAAACTTTCATCCAGAATAGAAAGACTGTCGGTACCAATTAAACGCGATGAATCAGTTAATGTGAAACCAGATGAAGAATCTTACTCGGTACATCACGAGGAAACTATTTGACCGTAATGACAGTATACCACATCATATAGTTATTATTTTATAGGTAAAACGGTCGTCCCTCAAGTTTGTGCCAACTGAAAGAATAAAGAGATTAGCCACTCCTCGGTCGTTGCATCCAAGCACTATCGAAGACCTCGAATACGATCCATACGCTAAACTAAAATCAGCTCTAAAATACACGCGTAAGGCGTTGGCTGTTATTCGTATTTTCAATTTAAACTTCTGTAGAAATAGTGGACACAAGTACAAGAAATTGTATTCTAGTCTAACTTATACATTATTTATTTTTATGAAATACGGGGTGATTCGCTTAACACCCTATGCTATAATTTACTCTTAAATAGTTTCAATTTTGTAGTGTTTCTTTTTGAAAACATTTTTGTTCATGTTTTTTAGTATTTTCTAGAGCTTTATCAACTTTTGAAACATAAATGGTAACGTATATATTTTATTAGCTTTTTAGATTAATAACAATTTGCTAAAAATGTTGACTGGCCAATAACCAGTTTTGAATAAATAGTTTTAAAATTATTACATTTTAAAATTTAGGACGGGAGGAAGGGTAGAGAGGAAGGATAGAGTTATCTTTATCTGCGTACATTTCTCAGCTGCACTCCACCTCCCTTCCTAAATTTTAAAATTAAATAACTGAAAATAATTATTCAAAACTGGCTATTGACCAAATTGATCAAGTATTCTTAATTTAAAAGCTAATTACATTTATACGTTTCCATTTAAGTTTTATAAGTTGATAAAGCTCAAGCAAATACTAAAAGATACAAATTTGAATAGTGTCTAATTCTACTATAACATAAATAAAAATGTTTCCAAAATGAAACGCTACAAAATTAAAAATATTTTAAGAGTAAACTAGTGTAGAGTAAAATAATCTTCAGTAAATACTTGAAAGTAAATATAATTTACTAAAACGATACTACGTTTATAGTTGTACATTTATTACATCTTACATAACGCATTTGAGTACGATACCTATATTATTATAGTATTCAATGATATATAACTATATCCCAGAAACTTATAGCAAATAAGAAAAGAAATAATTTGACCATAACATTTTATGAATTGTATTTGAAAACGTTGTTTAAATAAAAAATTTAACGTAATACTTTTACAGTTAATATCATCAATTATAAAACAATACGCTATTAATTAATGGTCAGTATTCTTTGTTTTATTAGTAGTTTTCATTGTTTTCTCTTTTATTTTTTCTAGCGTCCAGCAGAATTTTGGAGTTAGCCAAGCCAAGTACTTGCAGAAGTGAAAACGAAATTTTACCTTCAAAAAATAGAAAACCGTCAAGAATATCTAAAACCAAAAAATCTATTCCATGATTATTTCATTTAATATGAATTTTAAAAGCAAGTATTGTCATTTATATTCGATTTTTTTTCATAATTCAATTTTATTAGAAAATATAATAATGATTAAAAATAAACACAGCGAGGTTTGAGGAACTGAAAGTGATCAAATAATTTAATGTGATGCTGTAAAACGTAAAATTGTTCAATATTAATAAAATACCTTAAATAGGCTAAATATGTAGTATAATCAAAGCTAGTTTTTAATAAATTTTTTTTTTTGCAATTCAAATAAAATGTTAATCTCTCTTGAGTGAAATAGCGTTATTTATAATTTGTATTGATCCTTTAGTTTATATTGAATTTATACAAGGTCTTCAGAATTTCACGGGCCACCTGAATTTTTGATGACATTCTAAAATTATAAAAAAAATTACTTATTTAAAAACGTTTCTGAATTTTAATTTTTACCAAAAAATATTAATTTAAAGTCTTTTTTTATTTTTTTCAGTAAGAAGCCAGATAAGGGGGGAGGGTTAACTTTTTATACTTAAAAGGTAACGTACTAGCCAGACATTACCTTTGACATGTCTGGTCAAGAACTAGTTTTAATTTTTAAAATGAAGCGTGTAAGTATATTTTTGAAACATTTTAGATACAGTTAAATTTATTTGAAAACGTCTTAGTAGATTATTACCCATGTTAACAGGCCGTCTTAGGCTATGCAGGCAGCTTGGACACACTAAGTTTAAGATGTAAATTATAATATTTGGGGTTCAAATTTAGGGCATAATACCGGGTCAGGTTAGGTTATTGGACACAACCCCACAGTTGTATAACCTAGATCCAAATCGGTTAAAGAAACAGTTGTTGATCTTCGTACCATTAGCACAACACATCGCTATAATAGAACAAAACATCATCCACCGCGACCTTAAAATGACATTTGTGCTGGATTAAACACGTAAAGACTTGAGCTACACACAAATATAGATGCCATACAACTCCTCGACAGTTCTCAAGACATCGGACGGTTCAAACGACCCATGCTATTTCACTTCATAGTTTAATTAGATTAAGAATATGGCTACTTCACTGGATGTAGCACATATTTTGTATATATTTACCCCTAATCTACGGATACGTATTTGATATGTATTTAAACAAATTGTTAATCGTTTAAATACAAATTCCCTTGGGTGGTTAAATTAAATATATTATATATTGGGGTAAGTATATCTTAATTTAAATATAAAATAATAATTCACTAATAAATCCCAAAATCATGAAAAATGTATTTTCATAGTAAATGCTATTAATTAACAGGAAAAATGAGAGGCCTAATTTAATATACTGTAATAAGATTTTAAATTATCTTAGTGCCGGGTTGTAATGTTTTTATCTTGATTATCGTAGCTACTCGACAAGTGTTTTTAACACAAAACGGTTCAATTATAAACGAATAAAACCAAACTATATAATTTAATTATACACAATATAAACAAATTACAACTTCCAGCAAACCATTATGTTTCCAACTTATTCCACTTAAAATCAATGTACGGCGTGACGATCCCGTATCGAGTTTTTTTATATCTGGAATGAGTTTCTTCGCAGGTCTTCGAGCAAAACAGTTGTACCATTAGATGCATATTTAACCTAAAACGATACACTTTTTAATGTAACATCTTTATATACAATAATTTGTTTTCTATAAATAATATGTTTGTGGGAATACACCGTTAATTACTAATGAACATTTTGTTACTGAAAAGACTTGGAAAAAATTTACAGTCTACTTAAAGCCCAAAGGCTAAAATTATAAAACATGGAACATGCTTTAGCCTGATGGCTCCGGAATAGTGAATATTTCTAATCTATTATCTCCTCGCGACTTATGACGATAGTATAGTCTTTATTTAATTATATGCTATACATATTGTATTATATGTCTTTAATTATATGTTCTGGCCAAAACGTTTGCATGACGACGACGACTCGTTATTATTTCAAAGGTCCCTTTTACGTTATATGTTACACAGTGTATACGAGCGCCGCATCAGAGACGTAATGGGGACCGCTTCACCCATTTCAGTCGAACAGCATAATACGAGTAGAGGTGTTAAAATGATTCGTGTCGATTTTTTGTGTCGTTTTCGAGCTGGGAGGCCAAGGCTAAAGCATGTTCCATGTAAAAATATACCTCATGACATTTTCGCAATTAGAAATGCTCCATTTCAGATTATTATTCCCAAATATATACAAACTGCGATAACTGAAAATATAATTTAGGTACTTAAAAATAACGCTTTTGCAATCTCAAATAAATAATTTCCTATACAGTATGATTAAAGGTTGATAGACATTTTTTTTAACTTAGAGGTTTTGCAGATGTTAAATAAATAAATCTGACTTAACGTAACCTAGTATAATTAGAAGAAGAATATTTCCCTAAAATTGGTAGTCTTACCCACGCTTCAGATATTTCTTAACGCTACTCTATCTACTCTCCTTCAAAGGCGAGACCCTTAAATAATTCTACACATCATACAAAATAAAAAAATAATTCATTTAGACCAACCCGTGATTAAATATGCAAACAACTGCATACGTAAACATTGATCGTTCACATTGTAAACACATCGCCACAGGACCAGAAGAGAGTTGACTATACAAGTTTTTTGGTAATTCATTCTCCGAGACCTTGATCTGTGTTTTGTTTAATATTCTTAAAGCAAATTCCTTTAGTGATGGACAGTATGCATCGTCGTTTACGCTTAAAACATGTTTAATTTTTGACGGCATAATTAAATTGCGACCTAGGCAATTCAACACAACGTTATCAATCTTGTGAAGGTATCGAAAGTTTTCCGTACCAGAATTTTCCGCATAATATTTATATCTGTAATCAATATTATATTGTTATTTGAAGGGAGTAAGCAAAAAGATAAACAAAATCAAAATATATAGATTAAATGAGCAAATGATGTGAAATCCTAATAGGTGTACCACGTATCAACTATTAAAAAATTATGCACTATGAATAAGGTTACATAATTTATCGGGCTAGAACCCATCTAGAACTAGGTCCCTCGTGATGTATATCGACCAAATATTAAATAAATGTAAGTAATTAAAATACTTTATTTTTGAGAACGGTTTTAATGAAAATTGATTTGCTATAATAATTTCGTGGGTAAATGTTATATTAACCACACGATGTAATGTTTGTTTAACTCTTTTTTTTGGGGGGGGGGGATTATTATATTTAACACTTTTATTATGACCTTTGAGTTTCTTATTATTTTTAATTAGTGCACCTATCGGCTATCATAGGATATTATAATTCAGCTCATTTTAACATTTCCAGTTTTCTTATATTAGTCATATTTCTTACCATTAATTGATATAAGCAGTTAATCACAGTTAAAAAAAAATATTTAAGACAAGAGATGGATTAATAAAGATAAAATAGGCATAGAAGAATAAAAATAGTAATTTTCTTATTTAATGTATTATTTTGTTACTTGTCCACAAATTCATACTAAATGATGAACATTTTAATTAAAAATATGATGTGACATAATATAACACTTAAACAGTTTAGGTCAAGTTATATTTTTTTGTTCCCTGGCCAATATTGTGCTAAATGTGTTTTTTTATAGGTATTTAAAATTATAAAATGTGTAAATTAGATCATTGCACCTACTAAAAAATATAATTTCGAACAGTTTCAATCTCAATTAGTTGTACTTACTGCACTGGCACGAATACATAGTTCAAGTAGGGATTCCGCTCTACGCTTATATTAGCCTTATATAAGGGTAGCGCCGGAAAGTAAAGCAGTCGATTGCCGTTCAACGATAAGACTTCAAGATTATTTAACGTGGACAAATTTTCGGGCACCGTCAACAAATAGTTGTTGTCCAAATGCAACTGAGTCAACACAGAACCATCAACTCTGATATCAGGCAGCTTTGTAATTTGATTATGTGATAAGTCTAAACTCAGTAACTGTTTCATTCGAAAGAAATCTGTTAAAACGATATCATAAATTATAGCAATAAATTAGATACGAATAACGGAAATAGCTAGCTTTGATTTTTCACGTTTACCATCTGGAATATTCGTTATGCAGTTGTGAGATACATCCAAATGTTTTAGTATCGGTAAGCGAGCCATAGAGGCTGGCAAATATTTGATACTGTTACATGGTACACTAAGTACTTCTAAATTAGTCATGAGGCTTAACTCGTCAGGAATAATTTCTAAGTTGTTGAAACCCAAATAAACGTGACTCAAATTTTGCATAGTACAAAACCAATTAGGCTAAAATTACATACAGATTTTGTTTTAATAAAATATTTAATACAATTGTATTAAACAATTAAGTACACTATATGTACATACACAATATGTATTATTATAAATCTGTAGCTTGGAGCAAGAAGGGTCACTTTTTGCAACTTTCGGAAAATGAACTTTGAAGTTTTCATTTTCCATTAGGCTCTATGTTAATTTTTTTATAAAACTCTTCATGAGTTATTATTTTTTTGGCCTCAGAGTGTGATTTTTTTACAATATATAAAAAATGTTTCAATTTTTGCAATTAGCGGACTAACTCGTTTATGCACAAAATTGACATAGGCCCTTCTTGCTCCAAGCCACAGAAATAGTAGAGATATTATTATTGTTTCTAATATTCAATTTAGTATTGTATATTATTTAATTTAGGGTTTCCTTCGGAATGTTTCAGAAAATATTGATTAATTCATATTTTAAACAATTTAAAAATGTAAGTAAACGTAGAATACTGTTCTGAAAGTGATTTTAAATTTGTTGGTAAGTAAGTTGCTTATCAATAACTTACTTGGTTACTTAAATCTTAGGATTTGGTCTCTTAAATAAAAAAAAAAGATTTGTATAATCACAGTAATTTGAATGCCTTAGTAATGACTATGAACTGATTATCTTGTTGTACTCACTAAATAAGAAATGTGATTATTTTGAAAATACAATTTTTTGACTTTAGTATTGAGTCGTATCATTTCT